TATATATATATATATATCATACCTTTTATATGCAATTGTCCAATTTTTGTTTGCCAAGGACAATGGCAGTGTTAACAATTCATGTTATAATAAAGATACAGTCCGCATCAAGTAACATGATGATATATACAATAACGTATAACACACATTGATGTAAAGAACCTATCTATGGTACAATCTATTTGTAGCTATGCTACAACCAACGTTTCGTAAGATGATAATTCACATTGACAAGTGATAACGCTGACAACGACAGACTATAGATCACTTATATAACGTATGCGTAGAAGAATATCTTCCCCTTTAACAGTACACATATATTACATATAATATGTACGTCCTTTGCAACATACATATCGCAAATAGGCTATTGCATTTTGGCTTGAGTATGTAAACGAGAGATAATTGTAATTTTATAATCAAAAATGCAACACTATACATGCATAAAAAATGCTTACCACTAACGATCTAAATATATCTTCTATTTATACTTAAAGAAATATCGGTCATGAAATGGTTGTAACACTACTATACTGTTCCTACTTTGATGAAAACAACGTTACGTGCGTCGAAAAATCCTTGCTAAGAGTTAAATAGACCAGAACTAATTGTTACAATATATTCTTTACATCTCTTCATCTCGATATTAAGTATATTCGCTTCACATAACGTAATACGTAAACCTTCTCCTATCCCTTATAAAACAACCAACCCTGGTCTTCCCTATTATTCTCCTGCTATATTTAATTGCAATATCGTTTTAAAATCTTCTCCCCTATATAAATACAAAAAATAGGAAATCACAAGTATAGTTAGTACGAAGTCTCTATAGGATATCTTTTGTATCATACTATTGATACAAAAAATATATATATATGTATACGTATATAAGTCTTTCTACAGTCAAAGGTACATTTCACCGCTCTAAACCCTCTTGAGCTCCTTTATTCGACAATATGGCTATTCAACATACGTCTAAGATACGTTATCACAACGATCCCCCACGGAAAATTATGCATGTAGTTCTAAAGCGGGCAAGGTAAAAGGTGAAACCCCTTCAAAGTCCGGTTTGCATCTGTATAGACACACTCCTTTCCCCGTGATAGACAGATGATAAGAACTAAGCGTAGACATTTCAGCCTTTACTGGCAGGTACTCTGTTATTACTGTTGTTTTTCGAATCCACCGCGCTCAGTGCGATGCCTAATTGCGCCGCGTAGTACGTCAGCATAATAGACACCTGTAAAGCAAAGATCAAAAATGGTTGCGTCGATGTTGATGTAATCTAACAACTACACATTTATAACACACGTACTTGAGCATATGGTAATTTAGTATGGAAGTGGTGGAACCCGAGCAAAGTATCAGATATGACGAAGCAAATGCTTCCAATACAGCTGCATAATTTAGTCCATGTTAATTCCTAGAAAGATATGATTACTTAATTAATGATGTTGAGTGATAATTAATTAATAGATATGATTGATCGCTCTGTACGACGTATCGTATCGATAATTCAATTATGATATCGGAGAAAAATAACATTTCAAGAAGATAAGATTAAAAAAGTTATCAAAACATATATATATATATATATATAAAATTCGAGCATTATCGAACAATTATCGTATACTATCGTGTAAATTTACCCCGGAGAATTGCACCCGCGATATCGCTCTCCATGCCATGGTAGTAATTAATATTGTGTAAATTGGTACTCCTATCGCTAAGACACCTTTTAGCCCGGGCATCAAAATGTATATGACTGGAAAACAGAAATATTATTATCAGTCATTGACTATGATTTATACGGCGACGTTAATCCGGTTTAATAACAACCTTAGTGAATTCTTGTGTTTGATTGGAGTTTTTTAGATCTAAAAAAAATATGAATATATATAACAGAATACAAGAGCTCACTCATTGCGATTGTTGTTATTAAACCGGTTATAAACCGGTATAAACGTAGTTATTGGATAGTGATCAATCGATAACTGACGACTAACGAAAGAAATAGATTGAACGTTCGTTGAATCTTACCAACAGCACAAAACGTGTACAGTAACGCGCCCAGCGTTAAACTGAGACGCTCGAATCCGAATGCAATTATGTACATAATCTGCGCTACGGCGAACATGCACATACCCGCAGTGAAACAATTGGGCCACACTAAAAATGCGTCACCTATGCAACTAAATATTAATCCTATCAGTATACGCCTGGAGAAGGTATATCTGCGAAGAAATGGATTTTACGTTAGCGAAGATAAGTCGGAAAGTCAATTCAAATTTATCTGACAGAATGATTGATCTTATCTGTAGTTTTAATATGCTTATATAACTATAACTGAATTATATTACATTCGTAAGTGTCCACTTACTCTTTAGACAAACTGATCCCGTGCAACAGGACGAAAAAAATGAGGCTCATTATTGGCAAACATTTCAAAACAGCCGTCAGCACGGACGGCTGCTCGGCGAGCAATACAAAGTACACGGACACGCTCTTAAAGAACGGCACCAATTTTGGTCCAATACATTTTATCTGGAATGTAACAGATAGCTTTTGTTGACGAGTCATGCTGATGATAAGCAAAAACGTGATAATAAAATAAAGGACTCTTTCAAATTAATTAAAATACATGTTTACAACTCATCAACGCAAAATAACGATTAAACGCGAGAAATTTACAAGGTAAATTAATTTTGCTTGCATTTCAATATTAATTCAATTGTATGTCTTAACAAATTTAACGAGTAATTTTTCAACAATAACATATATTTAATTCACATTTAATGTATGATTCTTCAGCAATGATATTTAATTCATATTTAATTAAAGCCTTATAGCTTTAATTAATAATTGTTATTTTGCGTTGTTATTAATTCAGAGATAATAAAAACATCTTTTTATAGCTATTTATCATTATCATTGTAGTCTTTGACCTATTATTTCGCACATAAAAAAAAATCCAGAGATAGTAAACATCTTTAAAAAAATATGGTATTTGAAGTCTGAATATAGTAAAACATCTTTTTATAGCTACTTATCATTATTATCATCGTAGTCTTTGACCTATTTCACAGTTAGAGATAAATAGACAACCGATCAATTCAATAACTTTCCTCCCAGAGATTCAATAAAATTTATATTATTAGATTGAAGTTATTTTCATACTTCTTTTATGAAATATTATTTATGCAAGCAATTCAAAATAATATATTAACTGCATCAATTAATATTTTAGTTGTTAATAAACAAAATTTAATGGTTAAACTAAAAAAAATCTTTAGATTTTTAAATAATCTCAAATTCTGCATAAAGGATCAGTATAATTAAAAACTGATAAAATTGATGTTAGTTCCTTTCTTCTTTCTTCTTTTCAAAGAATGAAGATGTACATTTGATAAAATCGATTTGTATATAGAAAAAATAGATTGGTGTATATGTAAATAAAAAACAATAAAAAAATATATATTTAAACTTTCAACAGTTTGTTTTAGCATTTTGTTTCAAGCTGCTTTTAAATTGTGAAACTTGGACATTAGTACTGCATGTTTAAAAGAGATTTATTCATAGTCACTGAAGCTTAATCATTGATCTAATCCAGCCAGTTGCATGATAGTATATTATCTAACACTGGTACTGTCAGGATGCACAATAGTCTGATGTAGAGCGACCACTTTATGCCAATCTGGTGATTTCTCTAATGGCACACAATTACAATAACAACTGCATTTGATTCTTCTTTAAGGAATTTCAAACAGGATTTATATAATGCAAAAGTCCTTGCATTTTAGTGTATCCAATTTATACATTATTTACATTTACAATATAATACTACTTAATAAATATATTTTATGATTGTAACACACATTCAAAGAAATGCAAAATCTCTCTCTAAATTACAAGAAAATATACGAATGAAATTTTTTTGTATAATAATTTCTACAAATAATTTGAACATAATTTTGATATAAAAATATTGTATATAAATTAAATAATTGCATACAATATTGAAATTCTTTTTATACAAGACTAGAGTGGATACCAAGTATTTCCTTTTGTTTGAACTGCGCAAAAATGCAAAATTTTCAAATTAATATGGGATATGTGCAAATAGCATATTTGCAATCGTAAATCTTTACTTCAGGCTAGATTTCCTATGGGAAAATTCCCTTCTAAACATTTATATAAAATGTAAGCTTCCTGTGATAATTTCTTCATATCTTTCTTTTTTTTTTATAATTATACATTATTTCACATATAGTATATATAGTATATACATTATATAGTACATACGTATCGAATATTATAATATTATAAAATATAAATCAAATATTCTTTGACTTTCAACTTATCCTGTCGCGCAAAATAGGTCGCCGATCGTTCTTGAATAAATTCAATTGTTTGTTCGAACGCGTCTGTCAAGGAAATGTAGCGCGAATGTGATTCATATGGAGAGGAAAACAAAGGAAACAGCGTCTCCTGAATCGAATGAAACGTTCAACACAACGACGAAGTTGCGAGGCGCGATACGGTTCGGTTTAACGGAGAATAAAACTGAGAAAAACGTGAAAACGAGGGGTGTCTGAACCAAACCACTGCGATTTCGCTCTCGTCTCTTACCACTTGTGTAGGCGATGACATTTTTGATCTGAAGACACCGGCGAAAACAAAGCCAACAGCGGTGGTACACGATAGAGAACCGACCGACCAGCCGATCGACCGTGACTGACTGAATGCTGTCGCTTGCAAGCGAGCCCGCTTATTTATACATTTTCCGATGCATCGCAGCACCATACGCGTGCGCGCACGTTACTTTGGAAGCACCGTTCGTTATTGCCAGTGTGGCCAAACGAACGATAATCGACGCGCATCGTCGATGTGTCAGCGGAATGTGTCGGCGCAGATCTGTATCTCAACTTACACCAAGGACAGCAGGAATTTTCACGAGTGTGCGAGTACAAAGAAACATAAAAAAAAAATGCAGTGATCAACATGGCGTGTAGCCTTCTTTCGAATATCCTAATTACACGCGCACCAAAGGAAGAAACTTGAAAAATTGTTTCTGCGTTTCAATATACGCATGTATATCCGTGTTGTTATTAATATATTTGAGCTTACTAGCTCCTTAATTTTACATCATCATCCGTAGGTTCTAAATTCAAATTTTGCGGGTGCAAAGTGTTATCTTCTTCGTTAAACATTAAGGAGAATTCACACCTTGATGGAAAAATAGAAAGCAGATAAACATCAGCCAATCGAAACTCGCGCTGGTTCTGCGTTAAGGTGTAAACTCTCCTTTAGAATTCCTATGATAATGCCCGTATTCACAATCGGGCCTTATATTCGAGGCCTCCTAAAATTCGCCTGTTCAGATGCTTCGAGCCAATGGAATGAGCCATGCAGTATCTGAAGATGAAACTATGTAGGCCTTAAGGTCCGACTATGAATACTGGCATAACACCGGCCACACAGAATGTTGCACTTGATTCGCAATCCTACCATTCCTCTAGTGCCTTGTGATAGGGAAATTGATTAGATTTTTCATCTGTAAGTTATTTCGTTTATGGTTTTATTCACCCATCGCAGCGCCATCTAGGAAGAATACTTTGTAGCAAAGAATACGAAAAAAATGTTTTTTGTAGTGACACGAATAGAGTTGTAACTTACGCCGTGACATTCGAAAAACAAAATTGAAGATCATTTTAACACGATGACGAATTCTCTCAAATCCAAGATTGTCAAGCTATTTGAAACTTATAAGAAGATTATTGTCGAAAATCCTCAGATGGTGTCGGAAATCGAAGTTGCGATCAAATGGCTGTCATACTTCAGTGTTGGTTAGGAAGAAGAAATAACCTTGCATCTTATTTGCAACCTTTCTTTACCAGATGTTGTACTAAACATGATCTCTTCGCAGGGCATTTCAACAACTCAAGTTTGGCTTTGGAAGTCATTTATTCAATGCCGAACTTAATTATGTTATCCAATGATATGCTTATGTATCATAGCAGTAGCCTGCATCCAAAGATACCGCAGTATGAGTCAAAAGTTAAAATTTTATTGACTATGTTGGAATATATGCAGACACTGTTAGAGGCAATAGGCAAGAAGTTTGGAGGAGAAATGGGAAGGTGGTTAATCATTGCAATTGTACAATTGGCTAAGTATGTGTTTAGTATATTTTGCAATATATTTATACAGATGTCCCAATTCTCATGACTTAATTTTACCGAAAGGTTCTCTGAGCAGTTTCAAGTTAACTTTTCCTCGATGTCGAGGCACCGATAGTTTCTAAGATACAAGCGATTGAAAAAATGGAGCTTTTTGTGAACTAAACTTTGAGCGGTTAAATGAACAACAAAATTGTTTTCTTCAATTTATTTCAAACCGACTTTTAATTTGAGACTTGACTAAAAAGATATGTTGAAGAATGATAAATTATCATAAACAATGACTTTTTTTCACACGATATTTCTGCTAAGGAAAAATTAACTCTAAATTGTTCAGGGGATCCTTCAGTAAAATCAAAAAATCTCGAGAACTGGAACATCCTGTGTATGTATATATGTATGTACATATAATATTATATTTTTTATATAGATGATTTTTTTCTTTATAGAGCAATATTGCGACTTTTATTGATTTATGTATATAAGGAACGTATAACAAAGAATCCTTCAGTGCCACCACTTAACAGAAAAACCTTTAATAAAGCTACCGATAATTTACAATTGAAGGGAGGATTCAGATTAAAAAGATCCGGCATTGTTGTTAGAACTGTAAAATATGCAGAACCCGTACAATTACGGACCTGGAAAGCTCTGCCTTCCGATGCAGATGAAAATCAAAATCTTAGTAAAAATCAGTGGTCCGACACAAGTCTCAAGCTAGCTGAGGTTGAAATAACATGTTTTATAATATGTTTTATGTCTAATTAAATACATCGATTAGTGTCTTAACATAGAGAAACCAACATCTTGTTAATTCACGTGAAAATCTTCAATAAAATGTATATTTTTCAGAGTCTTAATGTGATAAAGCCATTAGTCTATCTTGGATGCATATCTGCTACTAGTCAACGCCATTGGCAACCTTGGTTGTTATCACTTCTTGTTGATACAACTAGGTAAGCAGTGTGTTATGCGTAACTAATGAGTATCATATATAAATATTCATGTGATTTATTATATATAAGTATTATTTTCTTTGTACAGTTTATATATCTTCTCTCGCTGCTCTCGGAGCACAGTGTTCAGCAAAGAGGAGAACATGGAACTCACAAGTCGGCAGATAAGTTTGCTATTGTACATTCTAAAGTCGCCATTTTATGAGAAATATGGCCGCGGTAAGATAAACGCGTTGCTCGACAGGATATCTGCCTGCGTGCCTCTTACCAGCTTATTAATGAATTCTCTCAAGAGAAACTTGGAGTATATTAACAGTATGTATTTTTATACGTCGTAAATCATCATACTGTAAGTGAACTTGATACATTCGGGACGTGAGTGAGATGATTTTTGGCTCCGTACGTTTGCAAAGAATTGGAACGTAATCTGAACATTCCTAATATTAACGAATAATCGCAGAGGTAATGTAGTACAATGTAATATTTTTGTACTTTTACTTGTATTATATCTTCGGATAGATAGTAAATTCTACCATATCGTTTATTATTACTATTAATCTTTTAATTTTTAGAAATAAATTATATGAAGGATACGACAGCGAACAATGATTTTCCCACTCGAGCAGCCCGATTCAACCGTTCCCTCCGCTTAGTCTAATCGCTTAAACGAGCAGCGCCTTCAAAATCTCTTCTACGAACGTGTCTCGTAGAACGTCCCGGTAGATTCCTGGATGAGTCTTCCGCCGAAGTTTCGCTCCACGTCGCTCGCCTGTAAAATATCGCTCTCCTGTCATCAGGTACGGCTGCAGGAGCAATTAACCACATGTGAAGTGCGATCGGTGCTCTTCGCTGGCAGATTTCAATACACGATGTTGAATACGCTGAATGAAATCAGCGATGCGTGATTCACGATCTGCTCGCACCGCCGGGTCCTGATTATTGACCTTCGCCGCGTATTTGCCGATGAGACGGGAACGACCTTGTTCCTCCACCTCCACTCTGGTTATTCCCACCTGGGAAATACCAGCCAGCACGTGCTGCGGTTAGTCGCACGCGCACACGTTATAATTGTCGGAAACAATTTCGTTCTCTTCTTTTTGTTCGCGCCAGAAATTTTACGCGCGTTAGCCAGCGCGCATAACACCGGCCGACACGGTGTGTCGTTACCGAGAAGCGCGTTTTTAACGCGTCGTGAAAGGTCACCCGCCATTATATTCCCATCCGGCAGGATGCGCGCGAGCTAATATGCTCCTGCTAAAGTTACGAGCGATGGAAACGGTCTATCGCTCCGCGGCGCATCGATGCGTATTTATGAATGCACATGGATGTATATATGTACAATATATATATATATATATATATATATACACGTGCGTAAAACCCGCACGCGCTCCGTGAATTCGGTCCACTTGAGTATCGGTGGCGTCTCCTTTACAACCGGCACGTTCCTCCTCGTCGGATTCTCACTCCGGAGCTCGAAAATCGTCGAGATGGCCAACAGAGTCCTGCTGTATTTGCTGCCGCTGTGCCACCTGCTGCAGCGAAGTCTCGCCTTCCCGCAAACGGACGGTATCGTTTTTGGTTCTTCAACTTCTGCTACCACTACCACTACCACCACCACAATGGCAACAAGTATAGTACATTAAGTATACGCTATTGTTATGAGGTAACGGTATCACGTATTGACTCCTTCATTGTCACCATAAACTTCCTCGATTGATTCTAAAATGCCGGAAGCAAAAGGTTCTCGAAAATTAATGCAAGCTTTTACAGAGGGGTTTTTCCATGATGCTAATGGCGAATTTAGAGTCAAGTTTAAAAAATTTTCCGTCATAAACCTGAAGCGACGGCTGATATGGCAAATTTTAATTGATATTTGATGTTGGCTTGCAATAAGTGTGGAAGTTTTTTAAACTAAATATTATATTTAATTTGTTGTAGAACTGGACAAAATATCTCATGACGAGAATATTCGAAATTTCGAAAAATTCTCATCTTTCTGACAGTCATCTCTCTTTTCCGAGATGACATTTTACAAATCGGACTCAAAAATCGTGTTTAGCACACTCATAAACTTTCGGTTACACTTTGTTTCAGTGATAAAATCACTTGAGGACTTTAATATAACAAAATATTTCACGACGAGAAAATGCATTTTTCGCGTCAGTGAACGCAAAATCCCAAATGACGAGAATTCTCGTTATCGGCAGTCAAGGGGTTAATGCCGAGATAAAAAGTAAAAGTTACCTAATACACAAAGCATATCTAAATGTAAATAGAAGCATGACCGACGCGGTATTTTGTTTCGTTTGTGGATTATTCCACTAACGTTTTCGAAATATCTCATTCTTTATCCTCCCATGTAATGATAATTTATTCACGCCAAACAACCTCATCAGGCTTTTATTGGCCTATTTTCGTATTTCCTTGCTTGATATCACGAGAGCTTATACAAATTTAATTTTATCTCATTATTACTGTTTTTTTAGCTACTTCCGCGAACCGCCAATGCCTATGTGTGCCTGGAACTACCTGTCCGTCCAGTCCTGGCGATATTGACATTAGAATCGTCAATACGGTAATATGATTCTGCTTGCAATTAACCAACGGTTAAAATACACTTAAAGAGATATAAAGAGCTTATTTCCAGACTGTACTGAATCGATATTAAAAAAAAATGTAGACCGTTCTAAAATACTGTGGAAAATTTCGTGCGTCTTCGATTCATATTTCCGATACATATGTTACAAAATCGTGGAAAAGTTTTTAACGTCCATAATCTCTATTACTCTTTTTTTTTATTATTATTATTAGGAGTATTAATTCCGAAAGTAAGTTCTTTGATTATCAGTTATTCGATTTGTTTATTTTACTATAATAAGGACTATAATAAATCATTATTGTTATACTAACAATAGCTTCTTTAGGGAAATACTTGTTCCCCCGGATACGTGTTTTGCTGTGCGCCCGACGATAACAGTTCTTGTGGTACCCGAAAAATCCCACCCTCGGCACATCCGGTAGGGCAAGCTGCGTACGGTGCGTACCCGTGGCAAGTGGCCATTTTAGCCAACGACAATACTTACATCGGAGGTGGAGTGCTGATCAGTCCAACGCACGTCCTTACCGTCGCTCACAAAGTAGCGAATTACGTGTAAGCATTGCGGTGAAAAAGCATATGTGTTTCACAAGATCATCTATACTTAATGGTTTAAATAGACTTTATATCGTTAATAATTTAATTTATCCAATCCTGGTTAAAACATGGTTATTGCCAGCTTCATGTATCAGTATGTCTTCATGGAAGAAACTGGTATTGGCTTTTTTCCTCTACACGATGTAAATATTTGAATTCGTTACTGTTAGGAATTTTTACAGTTCACAGAAACGGTGTTGCAGGAACGGCGGGATCAAAGCAAGGCTGGGCGAGTGGGACGCTCAATCCACCTCCGAGCCCGACCCGTACGTAGATATCTCTGTGTCGAGGGTCGTCCTGCATCCTGAATACAACTCGCAAAACCTGCAGAACGACATAGCGGTGCTTACGTTGAGCTCGGCCGCCCCAATTGCGACCAGTCCCAACATTAACACCGCGTGTCTACCGTCCGCCGCACCTGCCGCAGGAACGAGGTACGTTTGCGTAATTAACTATCTTATCAGTACTCCGGATAGAGATAGAAAATGGTTTAAGATCGGTAGTAATTCGATGATTCCGCGACTGAGATGTCAATCTTTCAGATGTTGGGTATCGGGCTGGGGGAAGGACGCCTTTGGACCTAATGGAAGGTACCAGAGCATTCTGAAGGAAGTGGACGTACCTGTGAGAAGTCAGGCGGATTGCCAAACGGCTCTTCGGTCGACGAGGCTCGGCCAGTTCTTCATTCTGGACAATAGCTTCATATGTGCCGGAGGGGAATCAGGCAAAGACGCGTGCACTGTAAGAGAATACACGATATATCGCATGTTTCGTAAAAAAAAAACGAGCGTTAGATTCAGCGGTATATTCGTTGATCTGAGATGCTAAGAGTCACTGTGAATTCTTTTCGAAGGGCGACGGAGGCTCACCGCTGGTATGTTCGACAAATAACGGACCGTTCCAGATCGTTGGACTGGTGACATGGGGCATTGGCTGCGCGGGCGCAGGAGTACCCGGTGTGTACACCAACGTGTTCAACTTCCTCTCTTGGGTCATGCAACAAATGACGTAGCCTGCGAAATCAAGACTCGACGCACATTTAATAGCGTTCTCGTTAGATTTCAGTTTTGTATTCATTGGACGTGAGATTTTTCTTCGTCGTATTTATCGTAGAATTACAGAACATTTGATATATATATATAGTACGAGTAAAATAAACAATTGCATACAGCGCAAATGCGTTACTTTGTGAAGTTTTGTATTAATTTATTTCGAAAAAAAAAAAGAGAAACTAAGTCAGACTTGAGTCACAGGGTCGCGTATTAGCGGACGGAAAAAAAAATGAGAGGAAGCTAATCAATATATTTAATATTCTAATCTTTTTCATAGGGAAACAGGAAAAGTAGTAGAATCGATAAAGTTTAATCTTTTATCTTCCGTAGTGTCCTCGCCGACGAGATAGCTATAGTAATAGTCGTAGTCGTAACAATAGCTGTTGGAAAGAGAGAGACAGCGGATACGTCGTTTATACAATTCATTCATTTTTTGCAACTCTTTTGTAATTGGTCAAGCCTACAAGAAATACATAAAAAATATACAGACTTAACAATCGAAAATTATACGGAGAAAAGCATATAGACAAGTATTATACTGAGGAGATTTGGTACTCTCGCTTATAGATTTGTATATTACCTTATAAAAAACTACGCAGTATATAAACGAATAGATAAAAAAGTACATATAAATAAAATTCAAAGCAGCGTCTGTACCACAATATCGCCGTCGATGTACAATGAGATTAAATGAAAGTCAGTTTGTCAACTATTATAAACAATTTACAATTTACACAACTTCAATTAGAGAAACAATTCCTGCATTTTGTTAATTATGCGTTGAATGTCCAAAGCCTAAAGAATATCATATTGGAATTAAACATTCTCGTTACATTAGCAGGTTAACTAACATGGTTGTATTTGGTATTAACATGCCTTTGGCATTTAATTATCAAATATCTTAATTATGTGTTTCTATAAGTAAAAACTCGATTGCAAATCGTGTCGCTTAACTCCCGCCGTTAACTGCAATATTAATGAACTCTATGTAGACATGCCCATTTATTGCATTTGTACAATAAATCATGACGCGCCGCGTATATTTCGCTAATGGAGGTAGATATCTGATAATGCGATGACAACTCAGACAGTTGGTGTGCTAACGTGAGGATGGGGAAGTTGGACGGAGTGATGCGAAGTGGGCAGTGACAGCAAATGTCCGCGTTCCATTTCATTCACTTCTTGTTGTTCCGCTCCTCCTATAGAGCCGGTTGAACGTGCCAGGCTATTACGTTGTCTGCACATATATGGCGTCTCTCCAGGTGAGGGAGTTTCACGACCCTGTGTCGCATAAATAAGCATCCATGAATATCAGATTTTTGTCAACCTCATCAACGTTGGGACTAACGGGTAGAACTGAGCAGATTCAACTTTATAGTACAATGGGAAATATATATCGAGTATTATACTAATGTCTTAATTTTTCACTTCTTTTTACGCAAATATGAAATAATAATAAAACTATCAATTTTGTGTTATCTTCGTATGATTTGATCTTGAAATTTATGTAGTCCGGATAAATCGAATCCAGATAAAACAAAACGCTGACCTTCGAATAATTCGTGTGATATAAAAAATCGCGCGAATGAATGGAACTTTGTCTCACAGATTTTTTACTCCGCAAAAAATGTATATAACTGTACTTTCAAGTGGATGAAGTACAGAATTTATGCTCCCAGACATAGTAGGCGAATAATCGCAACTTTCACCTACAGTCGTATTCGATTTGATCTCTTCGAAGCATCGGGTGAAGAATTTCGACGAAGGGTGAAGAGATCGGGAACTTCTATCTGTCTCCATATTAGACTAAAGAATCGAGGAGTGCGCGATATAAGTGATGCAGGAATGAAATAGAAACACAGTGGCACTTACTTGCTTGGAAGGACCGCAACATGTTGCGTGATTACAGGGCTTATCAGTCTTTGGACAATCCAACACGCAATCTTCTGTGGGAGTCTCTTTAATTTCACTATTAGAATGATACTGAAATGGAACAGCAAATAAGAAAGTATTAACACAATTATTCTCCTCTCTTTTCTAATATTTATTTATCTCTCATATCCATTTCCTTTTGCGCTCTTTTTTATGCATATTATCTTCACTTACGTCAATAAATTCTGGCTGAATGGTAGTGGAGTGTATACCCTCGTTATGGAAAAACTCTTTAACTTGTTCGGCGATTTTCATATATTCAGAAAGATTTCTACACCTTATATGCGCGCTAGCTATAATACGATCACCCGCTAATTGCCATACATGGAACTCATGAACGGCTAATACTCCGTCGACATTTTCTAACAAACGCTGCTGTATAGCATCGACCTGCAAGTTAAAACGATATATAGATCACACTCCACTTCTCCAAAATCTTGTGTTATATTAGTGCACATGAAATTAACGAAGCATTACCTGAATATGTGTTGGCACAGTCTGCAATAGTATTAAAGCTGATTCTTGAAGTAATGGCCACACTGAGCGCAGAATAAGAATGACTAATAATAGCGACAATGCGGGATCAATGTAAAATCTATAAATAGAATTTGAAATTACAGTGATTAAATTGTTTTTTAGTATTTTGTATGATTCGGCACAGTACTTTGAAAAAAAATATTATTGATTGTTCAGAGGAGGAGACAATTATAATTCCTTTCATTTTTCAAATGAAGCAACATATAAATTTGTTGTTTTTGACAATTTTGCAAAAAACACAATTTCTACTTGAAATATTTATTTCTTCGTATTTTTAGTGTATAATTATAAAAATAGGTTGAAAATCTTCATTTTAACATTGCAAATATTTATTAAAAGTATTTCCAAATTGTTTAAATCATTTAAATTACTCAACATTGTGAAAATAATTTAGTTTAACTTGGGAAAAATTTTTGAAGTTTTTAGCAGAATATTTTCATCTATTCCCATTTACGAGATAGTTCATTCGTTTAAAAAAAATTAACTTGCCGATAAAATCTTACTCTCACGACATTAATCGATTATCCATATATAAGAATATGTTTAGATAAAAGATTTTTATATAGAATCCACGTAAGAGTATGTACTGGATGTGTAATCACCTGTATTGCCACTTTGTTAGCCATACAATCAGAGCAGATACAATGACAATAACAGAGCCAAGTGCATCAGAAAGCACATGAAGAAATACACCTCGCATGTTCATCTGACTTGCATCGTGGGTATGACCGTGCGCTTTCTTCACTTGAGGCGTCGAAGGTCTATAAGCTTCGTCGTTTTCATTATCATCTGTACCTACTAGAGTGCTCAATCTGTTATGACTTCGAGATATCCCGTGCGAGTGACCATGAGCACTTCCGTGTTCTGTAATTACATTGAACAGTATAAATGTTTGCAGTATTTATCAGTAAAATTGATTATTCTTATCTATCAAATATAATCTATCAAGTAAGACAGTTTTACACACCAATTAATAGCAAATGAGAAGCTGTTATTGTTAGATATTTCAGATACAAAATATCTCTGATAGATATAAACGCATTTATACATTAGCAAACTTATTTCCACTCTCATAAAAAAAAAAAATCATATATAAAAAAAAATAATCTTAATTAAATGAAAAAATTATTAATATCTTACAACTTTTTCAACTCTCATCTTGATCAAATAGATTCATAATTACATGTAACAAGTATATGTGTATATATGTGTATCTTAGCAGAACTACCTCTTATTTAACAGATAAGATTAATCCATTTTATCGGTTACAAGAAAACTTAAAATATAAGTGAGCTATAAGATTAGTGAAGAGCAACAAATGTAATATAACTCTTTGTAATCTTTGAATATAAATTTACCATCATAAGATCCGCATTATAAACATTTTTATTTTTCTCGCCTATCTGCAGAAGTTTCATGTTTCAAATCCTGCTGTGTCAATATTTTTGTTCCTTATTGGACGGACGGATAGACGGACGGACGGACGGACACACACACACACACACACATATGTAAAAATATATACTTAATACTCATTTGTTCTTTATCTTGATTTAAGATAGAATCTCTTGAACATCAATAACAAGATAATCATCATGAAATTGTTAAACAAAGGAGCTTATATGTATAAGCTTATATGTGTTTATACGTGTTTAAACAATACTTATGTAACACATACTATCTACTTTTACAATTTTTACAATATTAAAACACGTGTTAAGATATTAGATATAAATTCTAAATGATCAAGATACAATATATTAACTAAATAACTTTATATAACTGGTATTGTTTATAAAAAGATAATAATGGCAAAGAATAACAGCAATTTTTCCAAGGCATTTCTATAAAATGAATAATTCGGTAGAAAATGTCTACATATTATTTCTTCTTCACAGCAAAATAAATTTCAGGTTTATATATATATATATAAAATCGTGCTTCAAACTTCATTGAAAACAAATAAAACTTATTATACAACACAAGCGGCAGTACTTACCATGGAATAAACATAAGCCTATCACATTCACCAACAAACCAAGGGCTCCAACTGCCACGAGGAGCTTGGCCTCATGTATTTCTTCTACTTCAATAAATCTCTTACACGCTTCCACAGTAATACTAAAACATAGAGCAACTAAGAAGACAGCATTTACCAAGGCTCCTAATACTTCTGCTCTGGCCCAACCAAAAGTATTTTTCGACCATTTCTTCGGTGACATCTATGATGCAAAAATCAAAGATTTAAGATTAAAGGATTCAATAGTATTGTTACACAATCTTGAAGAATAAGGTTTGATAAGAATAAAAGAATAGAATAAAAGATGGATAAGAATAGAATAGAATGGATAAAAATTGAGGAACAAAGGAAAAATTTTGGAGCTTACCTTCACGGACAGAAATGCTACCACTAAAGCAGCTACATCTGACAACATATGGAAACTGTCTGCTATTAATGCCATTGAATTGGTCACATAACCCACTACTATTTCCACTAAGAAAAACAAGGCTGTCAGCCATAACATTGTTAATAGGCGACATTTTTTGCCTGTGTAACGACCCATGGTATTTGTGCAAACCTGGAAAGAATATAAATACATGTATCTATATTTATTAAATATATATTCATATGTAAACATTTAAAAGACATCCTAGACGTTCCAGAGATATCTGTGGGACATATCCAAGATATCTTTTGAATATATTTGTGTTATATGAGTGTATATTTGTATCATGCCTTGAAATATTCTGTGGAATTTTCCTAATGAGCATTAAATAATATGCATTTATTTGTAGAACATGTGTTTTTGTAAAAATCGTAAATAAAAATACAAATGCATATATCTATTTTAATGTACATATAATTAAATTACGAAGAGAAATTACGTTGAGTAACTTGATTATTATTAATATAAATATATATGCAAAAAAATTAGTCATCGTTGCGATATTCATACCTGGTTCACAGGTGCGAGCGAGGAGGAAGTGTTAGCAATGCAAAATCGTTTCTCGGTAAAAAGACCAGTGGCGCTTAATAAAGCAAAATTGCTCGTAAGCACTACCAAAGCACAGGAGAGTCGGCGAATTTTGAGTTTGGCACACTATCCTTGCACACTCTTTGTTTATTTACACGAATAGAGACGCGCGAATCTCAGACGCTGCTCCGACTCCACCGACGTGAGGAATAACGACCTGGTTTGCGATATCAGACAGCGATCACGGAACCGAAGCGATTCTCTCGCTCGGGTGATCGAGGGCGACTAGGTCGCGTGCGACGTGCGCTTCAAGTCGTCACGCGTTAAAGCAATTTTTCCTTATCCATTCCCCATAAATCCGAAGAGAATGAAAAAGAGGGAGAGAGAGAGAGAGAGAGAGAGAAGGAAGCGAAAGAAAGATAGACGTGGATGAATCACCGGACATTGTGACAAGAAAGGTACGTGAATCATCGCGCGGAGAGAGAAGAAAAAATACATCGGAAAACTGTCGTGTGTATCGAAGCGAAAAATTCACTTCGATTTCCTCCACCTTCCAGATATATACTCCCTGCGGGATTAGCTCCTCTCTCCCGAGAAGAGGGAAAGAAGAGAGAACGTGCTCACTCGGGTGCGTGAGAATGCACTCACCTGCAGGAGAAGCAGCTCGTCGAGGCCGTCCTAGTTGTCCACGCGCGCGTCTCGTCGTCGATCGTATCAAGTGACACTGATCAAACACGGAGTGTGGGAAACGTTCCTGAACATGTTCCACGCGCGATACGGCGACGGGCGACGGCTAACATCGATCCTCGTATCACCAAGTTGCGCGGAACATAAATATTTACTCCATTGTCGCGCGTTGATCATGCGTACGCACAATACGCCCGGCGAGTACTGGCGCATACACGAAGTTTTTCACGGCGCTCGACTGACTTCACCCCTCGCCGGCCATGACGCGACGCGGCGGAAAAATGTAACTGGTGGCACACACGCACGGCGAAATTTCACATTACAAAGGATTCTCGTCGCGTGCCCGATGTCCGTGCTTACACTCGCGGACAAAACGCGATCGGGACACTCCCGCTTGGAGAATCTTGAGACGCATCTGGCGCCCAATAGGCGCGCCCATTGCCGAAAGATCCGGCTTCCTCATTGGACGCCGAACGCGTTCCGAAACGCTCCTCGTGTCAGTCGCACTCGACACTAACTTCGCACTGTACGCGATATGTACTGATATAGGCCACTGCGCTTGCGCACTTGATCCTAACCTTGTTACTTAGATTACTGATAAAAGTTCAAAACGAACTCGCTCACTATTTGTGTCAGATCGTTTTACAAAGAGATCTGTCATATTTGGATCTTTGATGAGAATAACATAGAAGTGAAAACAGCAGTGTTTACTTTTATTCTTCATCATTTCAAATGTCACGTTGGTCTTGGACGAAATCTCGTTGAAAAGATTATGAGTGTTTTGTAGAGATTGTCTTGTAAGTAAAATTCAAAATAATTTAAATTCTCTCACATTTCACGAACTCCAAATAATTGTAACGTTTAGAATGACGCGTAAACGATTGTAACGTTGATATTTTTTACCCAAGCAAGTAGCGGATTTTATAAAAAAAAGCTTCGTCTACTTTCTGCTTCGAAGTGAAGTACTTTATATCTTACATACAGAGAAAACTACGTAAAAAATATATAAAAAGACCTTCAATTTCTCGAACACAAATTACTCTTGAGTTCTCCACAATCACGCAAAATATAAGATAATGTTAATATTAAGACAAAATAAAAATCATGATAAAATAAAGAGAAGAATACTTATTTTCAATTGAAATATCTGCCAAACACCAGGCTCGGTTCTGACTGACAGATGACGGATTTTGCATGAGAATAAGTGTGTCCGCAACGATTAATAGCGAGTTGTATCTTTATTATTTCAAATATTTGTAGCACAGGCACAATACGTTCAACTTAATGCTTCCGGGGCACCTGATGAGCCCGGAATCGATCAATCGATCTAAACGTCGGACATGTGCAACACCACATGTTCGCAACGACGTGAGGTGTCGAAAAATCACTTTCGAACGCAAGGTGTACGTGTGAAAACAGAATTCCCTCTCATCGTTTCTTCTTCCCCTTTAACTCTCCCGTTACACAATTCCGCATGTGGCTTGGATATATCGGCGAATCCTTCGTATAAAAAGTTTACGCAAATAAAATGTACAGATTGGACGTTACGTGCGTACAAAATCGGGTCACCTAGGCACAACGTAAGTACATGTATTAAAATTACAATTTTCTTCTTTTTTTCTCTCACGACAATTCTACAAAATTAAACGAAACGCCGTTTGTATGGTAAACGCTTAACTCGGCAGTGGTATGATGCCGGTGTAAATTTGTTCATTAGATGTGTGAGAAATACGACGAGGTTTCTATGATCTGCGTGAATTTTTGGTACTTTTTCTACTTTATATCAGAAAATCGATGCTCGTTAGTAAAAAAAAAAAAAATTTTTCCATTTTCGTCAGATATACATCAAATATCAAAAAATAAAGTCAAACGTATATTAAAAAAAAAAAATAAATGCGTCCGATATGAAATCAAAGGATTTCATTGTATCACCAGAACTAGAGACGTAATATCAAGTACACACACGCACACAACTCATATCCAACGCACACGCACGCACGCATACATACATATCGGTACGAAAGATAGAAATATTATCATATATATACAATGCAAATTACAATATTCATGGTACAAAATACGATTTTTATCTCCCGTCGTTTTTAAAAACCAATTTAGAAGTTTACTTCCTGCATCTGGAATACAATTGTTCTTCCAGCATATTCTTGCACATTTTCCATATTTTGTCACAAAATACAAAACAGTCAAGTACCGCTAACTTTTAGTGATCAGTATAGCGTGAGACAAGATTTTGCAATACAGAATAAAAAGACTTTAGCACCATTTCGTCTCTAAAAAAATAATAGACGATCTACACGAATTTTTCATAAATATAGAAAGTAACACTTACGATTACCGTATATTATCATATTTAATTTACGCTGTAAATGCGCTCACTCTTCACAAAATGGCAGAATAAAAAAATGCGAAGAATCTTACTGAACAAGTAACTCTCTTAAACTTAACTTTATACAAACGATAACGCGAGCTGCATCAAAATAGTGAGGAATACATTCTCGATAATGCTACATTATATATCGCAATTATCATTATATTGATAATAGAGATGTAAATTCAATGTACTAAGACTATTACAGCTATTTACAGTAACAGAAAAGAAAGAGAAGCTTTTTACCCGACAGAAACCAAGTAGGAAAATGAGAGTTATCACCTTGTGAATAACGAAAAAGGAAATATTTATACAAAAAGTTTGATATTATTCTGAATCTTGGCTTTCGTTGTAAGTTGTCATTTATCGTAGCTTATTTGCGTTCTTTTTTTTTATACACTCAGAGAAAGAATTAGCCATAGGAGCTAAAATCTAGCTGTGGTAGTTAAAATGTGTCCTTGAAATAAGGACAGCTAATGTCGCTACCGCAGCTAAATTTGTCGGCTGTTTAAATTTAGGAGCTACAGAAAAAAATATTGCTAAATTGTACAATAGTACTAAAATCATACTTTGCCGATTAGAAATTTATTTTTTTTTTTTAACAGAAATTGCTCTTAAAGTGTTAATATATGCTAATTTTGCTTGAAATTTAGCCGATTTACTCGACTTAATGCTATATTTAATGCTAATTCGATGGACTTGAATCCGAGACTTTTGGATCGTGAATTAATCATCTTAGATACTCAATCACTTCGTCGATTGATATAAACGTCTTTTATATTGTTTATATATGACATAACCAGCACAGCCAATCAATTTTGGCTATTCGTGCTAATAATTTCAGTTAATAAAGTTGCAGCATTTTACCTCTAATAACCAACTTTCAGCAATGACGGCAAGTTCGAACCAGCTAATAAGATTTAGCTGCTATTACCAAGTCATTTCTCCGAGTGTGAAGAAATCTTTAAATTCGTATCGAAAAAATGCATATTTCTAGCGTCTGACATGTTGTCTCAGGAAGTAATTCGAAAACGTATACTTCTATAATTATCATAATTATCGTTCGTACGATTGTAATTCGAAGTGCAATTTTTTTTTTCGGGATACTACGCCCAGCTCTGTAATACCACTGCCGGGTTACGGAGATGAACGGGGTCCAGAGTACCATACGTTTAAATTTATTACAAAGTCACATTTATTATCTCGCATTAGCTATTTCAGCATCATCGATAATACGAACCTGCTAATTCTATGTACAATTTACCGCTTGCGCGTTTTTTTCTTCCCTTTCGAAATAAAACATAATAATCGGTAATAGTAATAAGGTATTTCAAATCTTTTCGAAATTTCCTCTCTCCTCTCTTTATCTTCCTCCCTCCCTCCCCTCCCCTCTCTCTCTCTCTTTCTCTCTTACTTTCACCTCGTTGATATATATTTTAATTTTTTTTTGTTTTAATAAGTGTGCTGAAAAATTGGTATAAATGTAAACCTACGAAAAGGAGTAATATTATCGCAATAGTCCATCGCAGCTTAGACAAAATTTGGAAGAACTGTAACGCCGTTGTTCTCGCGTTTCTTTCCCCCCTATTTCTACTATTGCCAACGCTATTTTTATCCAGTTTTAGAAAATCGAACGGATACTCGTTAAATGATTATTCTCTACATCACGAGTACGGATCGACCTAAACACGTCACAGTTTACGATGTCGAGCACCATTTGGCTGTCGATATTAATTAACAGCGAATTGAACAAATGAAATTTCGACGAGTCTGGAATCGCTATCCCGTTTTCTTTTTCCTCTCTCTTCCTCTCTCTCTCTCTCTCTCTCGCTCGCATTCCCCCTTTCTCTCGATTCGCTATCAATTATACTACATTTTGCGACGTAGTCGATAAACTTCGATCGATATTAAATACGAGCTAATGTCTAATCACTTACGTCTAGATCACTACCGTCGGTACTATCAACGATGAGCTTTCAGTTAGTTTTTCTCGCTGCGTATCGCGATGTCGGCAGCTACGGACACTTGACTAATACTGAATAACGCTGGCCTGTTCTCCCCTAAGTTTTCGTCGCTACCTATTCGCTATCGTCGTGTTGTGTAACGTGTCTAACAATTAATTTAATTCAAACAACGTTTCCCTATTTGATCTATCAATATTCTATCAACTGTCCTAGCGACCAACATCGTGCTCGAGACAGCGGTAACAATTTGTTTATATAGAGTGCTACAGGTCTTCCACAATTTTTCTAAGATAGTAGTAATTACTTCGTAGTAATAGTTTTGCTAACCAGCGACCGCCTCGCCCCACTTGGCTTGGGCTGGGATCGGGAGGCGTGGGGCGGCGGTACGGTACTTCCTCTCCTTTTTTTCTTCCCCTTTTGATTGGTATTCGATCTAACTCTAGTATTTGGACGAAGTGCGAGGATGGGTCGTGCGTGCTTTTGCTTCCTAAATCGAGCGTGCGAAATCCTTATAATCTTTTTTTCATTTTTTTTTTCTCCTTTTTACCTTTAGCCGTAAGCTTTTTACTTTCTTGTTTTTCCTTGACCAGTTTACGCGATTTACTTCCGTTAATTAACCCATTTCGGGACGAGTCGCAAAAATATTGAGAAATATCCATGAGATCAAAGTACCGTTTTCGAGTAATTGGGACCCAAGGAACTCAGAAAATCTAAAATCGGAATTTTCTGACCAGCCGTTTTCCCCGGAAAATAGTCATTTACCTTGAGTGACACTTGGCGTACACCTGGTGAATCATATTATAACTGGAATCGTCATTTCCGACAATTTGAATTTTTTGCAACAATATCCCATTGTTTTTTTTTTCGATTTTTTAGTTATTACTGTTTTTAATTAATTAATTAAAAAGGTGTGTTTCGTAAGGTTATTTTTTTCCACTCCACCTACCGCCGGTAGAGTGATAGGTGGTGGCCAGGCGGCCAAATTATTTCCCGAAAGGCAAAAGTCCAAACTAGATTTCGGTATCAAGATCTGGGCCAGAATCTACCTTTATCATAGATGAAAAGATTTTGGAAGATGAAAAAATTTGGCTTTCCTATATAGAAACAGAGGAACGAAATGGGTTAATTTATACTCGATAAGTATATCCTCGGAAAGAAAAAATAAAAAGAAAGAGAATATTGCTATTGCGGCGAAAGCTCGATGTAATGCCAGACTTGTAGAATCGTAAAGGTTCGAAGTTTTTCAATTTGCAACTTTCAAAAATGGCACCAATTAAGATGTTTAATTTAATGTCGAATCTTTAAATCAGGGCGACTTTTAAGTTACGATAGATCTGGTATCTTGTTAACCAACCATGCTAAATGAATTTAGCGTTCTCCACTGGTTACAAATTCGAAAATGTTTAGGAAGAAGTATACTACTATTTAAACAAAAATACTACAGGAGTGGTTACAAATAGATTGAAAATGAAAAAAAAAAAAGCGTAATTGCATTGAAAAAACATAACTACATTGTTTTCTCAACGTAACCAGTGATACTATCTGTGTATCACTAGTGCAACGTGGATATTCGTAAAAACGAAGAAGATGGCACTACATCAAGTCAGTGTCAAGTGCTACTTGCATACATGGAACCGACAGAGTAGACGCTCGAAAGAGACTACATAGCTTTACTCGCATCAGTAAGCTGCCTTGTTTTCACGTGGACGAGGCATGAAATCAATTAGTGAAGATGCATACGAACAGTAAATAGCCGAGATAGCATTACATCGAGTTTCTGTACGTGTGAAAAGAAGAGAACAGCGGGAAATCATGGAGCAGCCCTGAGAGAGAGCGAACAACGCGCCTGGGAATAGTGCATGTGCGCCTGTGTGTGTGTATGTATGTTTGTGGGTGCCTGTCTGTCTTCCCGTGTACGTACGTGTGAATATATGGATCTCATGAAAACGAACGTTTTATCACTCAACGTGTAAATTGCGAATTTACTTATTATTTACTCCTTTAACGTTTACTTTAACCTCAAGTCTTAAGAGTCGTGTGACGAGAGTCTGCGCACCCGTGCCTCGAGTTTGTGTACAAGTGACAACCTTCTACGCTGAATATCGACACTTCTGCAACAGAGAATGAAAAAGAAACGAACAGGCAAGGTGAGATACACCGTTTCTGCAATCAGCGTATTTTCGCGCGCGAATTTCGTGCGGAAGGTCTCTCACCGTCAGGTAATTCATATAATTTCCTAGGAAGAGAGGCAAAGTAGGGATGTCGTAAAGCTTCTTCCGCTCCTATCCGCTGATCAGGATTCAGTTGCAGGAGCGACGACGCCATACTGTCGCCGTCGGCGATGTCGTAAAGACGTGGAAACGAGAGGCCCAGCTTCCGCGGCGGATAAAATAACAGTCTGTGCGCCTTGTACCCGGGCAGATGCGTTACGCCGGGCCAAGTCTCCTCGGTAGGTGTGCCCAGCACGCTAAATATTTTATCGAGCTGGTTGTACGTACAACGTACACCTGGGAATGTCGGTTCGCCAGTTAACATTTCCACAAATATGCAACCTACTCCCCACATGTCGAGCGAGGTGGAGTACTCTGTGGAACCTAAAAGAACGTCGGGCGGTCTATACCACAAGGTCACGACTTCGTGTGAGTATGTATGCGATGGCACGGATTTGGCCCTTGCTAGCCCAAAGTCTGCCAATTTAAGCTCTCCTATCTCGCTGATTAACAAATTCTGTGGCTTTACATCTCTGTGCAGTACCCTCCTAGATGCATTAACACAAATTAATCACGCGGACGAGAGAGACATATGTGTATATCGGCACACTCGTAATTACCTTCGATGACAGTACGCCAGTCCCCGTAACAATTGAAAGAGAAACAATTTCACGTTACGCGGATCCAAGCCGCCGTTGCCGCTCCCGTACCTCTCCATGTATTGCGATAAGTCGGTGTGAACGTACTCGAATACGAAAGTGAGTGTCTCGCGCGTATGAATGATATCGTGCAGAGTCACGATATTGCTGTGTTTCAGCTCTTTGAGGAGACTCGCCTCGCGAATGGCAGTAAACGGAGCCCCCTCCTCCTCTTGCAGTCTAATTTCTTTAAGAGCCACCACCTGATTGGTGAGATGGCTGTAGCCTTTGAACACTGTGGCATATGATCCCTCTCCTAACTGCTCTAGTTTTATGTAAGCTTCGGATTTACCGAACGGCGAATCTCCCTGCAAAAGAGAGAGGAATAAATAGATCAGCGATATGTAATATCTTCGACCGCGTTTGTGGACAGATGCGATTATCGTTACCCCAAAGGCGGAGAATCGTTTAGTTCTTCTAGGTGGTGGGTCCGGGCCGAGGAAAACCTCAGATTTGGGCCGCGGCGGACGCCGTGGTCGTAGGATTACCCTCGCTTCTTCCCTTATGTCGTCGTCGAGAAGCTTGGAATCGCTAGAAACGGAAAGCTGCCGGTGCACTCTCTCGTGATCGCCCACACCTGTCCATTCTGTGACACCCAATTTCTGTCCTTAGAACATTCTTAAAATAACAGCAATAGAAAATACACATAGAGTCACGATTTTAACACGAAAAGTTTGCGGTGTATACGGGTGTTGCGGTGTATACTCTAATTTTGTAAAAATGATATGTAAACATGAGTATTCCGATGTTATAGACATGTTTGAATAATTTTCAGAGATAAGAGAGACTACTGCATAATTATAGTATGTAAGTATAGAAACTAATCGAATGATTTTCAGAGTGATTTCTAAAAATTTCCTTTCGTTGTTGTACACAACAACGAAATAATAAATTTCTCATTCTCACTTCACTAAAAAAAACATATCGTATTTACGAGCTTATTTTTTAAACAAACTCACCATAACGGCGATCTTTATCCGCAGGTATATTGCCATTTGGCTCCAAGCGGTCTAGGAACTCCTCAGAATAGCCATTGTACGGTAATTGGCCTCTAGTTGTAGCATCATCAGCCTCTTCTTTTGATATAGCTTTAACAAAATAAATAACATTTTACGATACGACGGTAACGATTACTTTTAACTAGCAAATAATTAATGGTTTAACTTAATAACTAATGATCACACTAATAAATATTATTCAAATGAAGATTTTTTATACTCCACTAAGGCATATCTGTAACAGTAATAATTAAATACATAAAAATATCTCGTTGATTAATCTGTTTGCAAAAATAATAAGATTAGTCTGGCATTCAACTTATGTTAATATCATTCTAAGGAATGTTAAGGAAACACGAATAATTTATTTTATTACTTTAAGCCTCTATATGTTACACCTCATATAACATGTTATTTTATACATATTTCTTAAGCACTACATAAAAAATTTAAGTGTAAAATAAGATACTTACAAAGCCGTCCGAAACTGTGACTGAGACGTTTCTTTAATTTTTGTACTCTGCTGAGAGCACCACCTTTTTTCTCCCGCATTGTCACAGGCCCTGCACACAATGAACCCAATATTTAGACAGCAATAGAATTGAAACACTAAACTGAGTAAGTTTAGACAGCACGACACATGATGGAAGGCCAAGAATATCAGAGTAATTCAGACATAACAGATCATTACATGTGTGATGATGTCATACACTGTGCTATGCCAGTGTGCTCCTGGATCTTATTAATAATGATGATAGAGGCATATATGTATCACGGACATTCCTCTTAAGCGACACTGCAAGGAACATAACGGCTTAAGAAATTGTTGTGTAATTTATTAATAAAAGAAAGAAAGTAAATCGCTATTATTTATTTTAATTCCATTCAATTAAAAAGAAATCACCACAACTTGAAACAACAAGTTTTACATTTGCTGTAATAATACTTGGGAAAAAATTAATCCAAATCCATTAGACAATTTTGAAACGGATCAAAGTATAGTACTTTTGAATCATGAGTAATGCACACACACACACACACACACAGAGAGAGAGAGAGAGAGAGAGAGAGAGAGAGAGAGATAAAAAAGAAGGAAGAAGGCAGGGAGGAAGAGATAGAGAGGTGCAGATAAGAGATAAACACAACAGATAAAGTAAAACAGATCCTATTCAGTTCCTATCACAGCTGATAAAACAAAACTGATACATAAGGAACAACCAAAACGGCATGATTCAATTCATTCTGAATACAGATCATTCGTTCATTCATAAGATCATGGAGGACAACAGGTTTCTACAAAGGTGAAAGTATATTCCCGGCTATATATCCCAGTACATGCACCCGGCACACAGAGCATCAATTCATTTGAAACGGCAAACTGTGATTTTTCTTGGAGCGAGTTGCACAGCGAAGCGAATTCACCCCGACAGTTGCTAAATGCAATTAAAACTTTGAAACTTCATCGCACGAGGCACGTATATATACGCCGCACATATCACGTACGCAAACAGCAGCACAACGGCGGTTATGAATACACACAGACGCACACGCATACATCATGTAACCGCGGCACGGGTCAACGAACTAATAAATATTAGTCTCGCCCGTCGAATATGTAACTACAGGCAAAATTACGCGGAGGTTTTCGAGTGCCAATTGACAGAGCGACGAGGCCCGTTTGACGCGCCGCGCGGAAGACCGCGCGCCGTCGCACGATTTTTAAAAATACAACGCTGCTGACGCCGCAGCGATGCTCCGTTCTTCCCTACGTGTCCTCCGCTCGTCTCAGCACGATAAGAACGCGATAAAGGTAGCAACGTGATCGCGGCCGACCGACTCTACATGAGAATTCGTGCCGGGTGAGAAAAAAGTGACGCGAGATCGGAGTTTCTCTCGTATGCGAGATACCGGAGTCTTTCTTCCTCCTCTGGAGTAACATCGGTAAGCGATACTGCACACGCACATGTGTGGCCGTACACACACATGCGCACATGCATTCTCTCTCTTTCTTTCCCCCCATCTCCATCGCACTACCGATGGTTGTCACTCCGTCCTTCTTCCATCTTTGCGATCCCGGAACGGAACTCGCTCTCTCTCTCTCTCTCTCTCTCCCACTCTTACTCTTTCCTTCCATTTCTCTCTCTCCATCACCTTGTTCACATGCGCGCACAAAAGCAACTGAAAGCCGATAAGAAGAAAGGTAAAAAAGGAAAAAAGCCGGAACGTCATTGCGGCGAAGGCGAGGAGGAAACGCGCGGCGCCGGTGCACACATCCGCGACTTACCCTCTTTGCTCTTGGAGGCAGTCGAGCCCTTGTCCGGACAGTGCATGATTACTCATTCGCTCGCACGCACGGGACACATCACATATGGGCGGTGACGCACTCGAGTGCGTGCCTGTGTGCGCGTACGCCGCCGTTTTCTCTCGGCCGATGCTCCTGCTGACACACGGGCGGCGTGTTGTCGGCTCGCTCGCTCTTTCGCTCACTCGTGCGGCCCTCTCACGTCGCTCGTCCTGTCTCGTACCTCGCTGGCGGCGCACGCACGATCCCCGTCGTGTCCGCCGCGCGCCATGAAAGCGCCTATCAGATTCTCCCCCGTAGACGAACGCCAGATGCACGGACGGAAGGCGGAATCACTGCTACCACTGAGAGTCGTCCGTACCGCTCCGGTAAGACGACGACGCGAGCCACTGCGAGAATTACCTGCCCGGGTGCACACGATGAGGCAAGGTTCACGTCGATGTACTCTCTCTCTCTCTCTCCCTCTCTCTCTTTCTCCCTCCCTCTGGGCCCCCTCTCTTTCTATCTCACCGGGAGATCACCGTAGATCACCACCACCGTCGTCGGCCACCCTTCTCACTCCTCCTCTTCAGTCGCGCTACCCTGCTGACGGTGGGTGCTCGCGCACGCCACCACTATCTCCGGCGTAACATCCGGCCGACTCCTCGCCGAAGAAGCACCCTGCTTGCCGCGGATAATGCCTACCCACCGTCTCCTTGCACCGCACACAAAAGTCGCGAACTAGCCGATTCCAGCCGAGAGACGGCCGCGGTGTGCGCGACGCAACCTAGAATGGCGGTCTCGACGTCTCGCTGATCGCCCTTATCGGCCGTCGCAGCCGGTTGTCTAGATGCGCCGAAGCGCGGACCAAGCGGATTCTAGACGAGCGACCTCGAATCGCGGGTTACTGAGATGTAACAATTGACCGTGATTGGCCAATTTCTCGCGATAGTGCGGCTAATGTGGAACGGTCTTGACAGGACTCTAATCGTAGGATATGTGGATGTCTAGACGGAAACTGCGCGTTCACATCTGGTTTATTCTTTTTAGTTGCACTGCTGAACTTGTTGTTCGATAAGTTGAAATGAGAAAACATATACTTCAATTTATCGCGATGGTTCAGCAGGGCAGTTAAAAAGAACAGGCCAATCGGCGGATTCCGCGTCGCGTCCGATGGCGTGCCATCTAGTCGTTCCACGCGTTCGTGATTGCACTTCTGATTCGCCCGTCTGCGTCTCTGGCCATGTTCTCGCGCGCCGTTGCACGTGTAGGTGTACGCTTTGTGAGTCAGCAAAAAGGGAAGGGAGTCGGTGATAATTCGTTGCAGCGGCTGTTACTGGTGAACGTTTACGTTGGGAACGGCAAACAGGCCGCGCGTTACAGCACGAACGAAGTCGCGAGCGAGTGGAGCCGAGCGACGATGTCGAGCGATGAGAAGAAGCCGTTCCGCCGTCTGCCGACGACCGTGCGTCCCCATCACTATTTGATTTCGCTGACGCCGAACTTCGCCAATTTTGTCTTCGACGGCACGGAGAAGGTGTACATTGACGTAAGTTCGGCCGCTCGCTCGACCACCTCCGCATCGTCTTCATCTGTTTCATTCGGCGACGACTGCGAACCGAACGGCAGGAGAAAGCGCCGCTAACCATATGGCGAACATAACCAAGAAACTCGGCGCTTCTTCGCGAGTTGTTTGATTAGCGTCTAGATTTGATTAGACACATACGCGATAGCCACACATATATAGATATATATGTGCACACACACACAACACACACGCGCGCGGTCTTATCTCGTAATTACAGGCAATTATGGCCTATATCTTTCGACTATTTGCTTAGTAATTACGAGATTGTGCAATGATACTTGTTTTTAAGGTATCTGTCTCTCATGTTAGAGTTTTTGACAGTATCTTCCCGTTATCTTTGAAATAAGGTGATTGTTGGACTTTATTTTTGGATTCTTTATTTCTTAGTTACTAAGTGAAATTCTAATCGATTGTTCTTTTTTCTTATTTTTGAAATTGTGTGATGATATTTGTTTAAGATATCTGTCTCTTATCTTATCTATGTTAAGCTTCTGATAATATTTTTCCGTTATCTTTGAAATAAGATGATCATTGGATTATATTTTTTTATTCTTTAATTCTTAATTACCGAGTGAACTTTTAATCGATTGTTCTTTATTATTTTTGGTGGATACAGGTGACCTGCCAAACCAACACTGTTGTCTTAAATTCGTTAGAAATTAATATAAAGAGTGCAACGTTCAATGGGGAAGATGGTAAAGTCATCCCCGCCGATAAAATCGAGTTGTCAGCGTCGGAAGAAACAGCCACTCTGGTATTTCCTGAAAATCTACCCCTTGGTAACAGTGGATACTTGAGTTTAGACTTTGTGGGTGAAATCAATGACAAGATGAAAGGCTTCTATAGAAGCAAATATTGCAAGTAAGAGTGTAATTTGTAATACTCTGTAGCGTACTCTGTAATACTCTGCGACGTTTTTCATTCTAAATTCTGATTGAATTGTTTTTCCTAACGATAAGAATTAATTGGAATTTTTTCGTACAATATAGGATTTTTGTGCTTTCAGAGACGATGGCACCATTGAACATGCAGCTGTTACTCAGTTTGAACCAACAGACGCTAGACGTTGTTTCCCATGTTGGGATGAACCAGCACTCAAAGCTACATTTGACATTGCTCTTAAAGTACCAGTTGGTCTCACAGCACTTTCCAATATGGTAAGCAGCACTCTGTATTTGAGATATTTTTCTCCCCTTATTTTTCTTCTGTTAATATTTAAAATTAGGATACGCAAAAATTGTGTTAAATTGATATATAGGGTGTCCCAGTATAAGCAAGGGAACATTAAAATATCTCGGGGGGCCTAAATATGGGGATCTTAAAAGCAAATGAAGGAAATGATCATAAAAAAATTTCCCTTCTACGATATTCTTTTTCCGAAATCATGAAATTCGCGATCTTGAATCATACCTGGCCTTATTTTCAGCCGGTGAAAAGCAAAGTTACAGAAGGCAACCACGACGTATTGACTTTCGAGAGGACGCCAATTATGTCGACGTACTTAGTGGCAGTGGTGGTGGGCGAGTTTGATTACATAGAGGACAAGTCTAGTGACGGTGTGTTAGTTCGGGTTTACGTACCCAAGTCTAAGAAGGAGCAGGGCCAGTTCGCACTAGAGGTGGCGACCAAGGTCCTGCCCTACTACAAAACCTACTTCGGCATAGCGTACCCCCTGCCGAAGATCGATCTCATCGCGATCTCCGATTTCTCGTCCGGTGCTATGGAGAACTGGGGTCTGGTGACGTATCGCGAGACCTGCCTGCTCGTAGATCCGCAAAACACGTCGGCGGTGCGCAAACAGTGGATCGCGTTGATAGTAGCGCACGAGCTGGCGCATCAGTGGTTCGGTAATCTCGTCACGATGGAGTGGTGGACGCACCTGTGGCTGAACGAAGGCTACGCGTCGTTCGTCGAGTTCCTCTGCGTCGCGCATCTCTTCCCGGAGTACGACATCTGGACGCAGTTCGTAACGGACACGCACATCCGAGCACTGGAGCTGGATGCCCTGAAGAACAGCCATCCGATCGAGGTGCCCGTCGGCCATCCGTCGGAGATCGACGAGATCTTCGACGACATATCGTATCACAAGGGAGCCTCCGTCATTCGCATGTTGCACGCGTACATAGGTGACGACGACTTCAGGAAGGGCATGAACCTGTACTTGAAGCGGCACAGCTACGCGAACGCGGAGACCGAGGACCTCTGGGCCGCGTTGGAGGAGGCTAGTAACAAAGCTGTGCGCAACGTCATGTCGTCGTGGACCAAACGGCAGGGCTTTCCCATTGTCAAGGTCGATTGCAACCAAGAGGGCGATAACAGAATTTTATCGTTGTCTCAGTGCAGATTCCTGGCCGATGGCTCGATAGACACCGCGGAAGACGTGTGGATCATCCCGATCAGCGCGAGCTCGGTACAGGATCCGAACAAGACGATATTCAGCGGCATACTGGACGCTAAAACGAAGAAGTTCGTGGTCGAGAACGTTCCCAAGGACGCGTGGCTGAAGATCAATCCCGGCACCGTCGGCTTTTATCGGACTCGTTACAGTCAGTCCGCTCTGTCGCTTCTTTTGCCCGCGATCAAGGATCACACTCTGCCTCCTCTGGACAGATTGGGTCTGTTGGACGACCTTTTCGCCATGGTGCAAGCCGGTCACGCGTCCACCGTGGAGGTGTTTGAGCTCATGCAGGCGTTCCAACGTGAGGACAACTTCACGGTATGGTCCAGCATAGTGAACACCCTGAGCAAGATCGGCGTCCTGATCTCACACTTGGAATTCGAGGACTCCTTCAAGGCGTTCGGACGCAACCTGTTCCAAGACATTACCGACAGATTAGGATGGGATCCCAAGCCGAACGAGAGCCACTTGGACACGTTGCTCCGATCTCTCGTGTTAGGTCGCATGGGGGCTTGGAACGACTCGAATACTATCCAAGAGGCGAAGAGGAGGTTTGAGCTCCACGTGAACGGTGCAACGACGCTCGCCGCCGATCTACGTAGTCCGGTTTATCGTGCTGTGCTCTTAGCGGGCGACGCCAATACCTTCGAGACCATGATCAAACTGTACAAGGAAGCCGATCTTCACGAGGAGAAGGACAGAATCCTGAGAGCGCTGGGCGCGATCAAGGACGAGGCCTTGCTGATGAAGGTCCTGGACTTCGCCATGAGCGACGAGGTGCGCGCTCAGGACACCGTGTTCGCCATCATGTCCGTGGGGATGACGTACAAGGGGCGCCTCATAGCGTGGAACTTCTTCAAGGAGAACTGGAAGACGCTGCTTGACCGTTATGAGGGTGGCTTTCTGCTGGCCAGATTGGTGAAATTCACCACGGAGAACTTCGTCACTGAGGAACTTGCCAAAGACGTGGAGAACTTCTTCGAGAACCACCCGACCCCCGGCACCGAGAGAACGGTGCAGCAGAGCGTGGAGTCCATCAGACTGAACGCCGCGTGGCTAGCCAGAGACAAAGACTTGATCCGAAAGTATCTGACCTCGGAGCAAGTTTAGTAGACGCCGCGTTTCTCACGTCTCCCTCGTTACCATTAATCAGACATAATCGGAAACCGTGAGCGAAGGCGAATTTGTATTATCGCGCGGAACGTCTTACTCGGTGTTGCTTGAAGAATATTGCCGAAGCGGCGTCAATTAGGCAACAGGGACGGTCTCTCGTATACGAGATAATCTGTAATAATCCGGTACGAGTCATGTGTGTGTGCATGCTTAACGGGACTTGATGTGAATTCAATGTTGCTTTCAACATACGGTCGAGAATTCTTTTGAGAGCGAAAACGAGTGGGAGGATATATGTACCGTTTTGTATACCTGTTATACCTCACCGACGAGTCATCTTGAGCTAACGCAGCATTTTACAGTGTTCTTATACTTGCTGACTTTTGACTGGTATTGTAGATTTAGTCGTTTGTTATCGAGGGAGAATAGGATTTTTAAGCACTCGGAACGATTCTTTTTTTTTTGTTTTGTTTTGAAAAAAACAGATCTCATCGCAAACGAATACCTGCGTTGGCTCTTATTGGCCTGGTCTTTATTTCTCATTTGTTTATCAGGGAGCCTTGTATATAACTTGTACTTTAATTCTCTTTTGTCTCAATATTTTCAAGTAGGCACGTCTACGACGATCTCGAATCACTTTAATTTGTTAAAATTTCAGATATATTGCTTTTATGTCGAGAGAATGTTGTTTCGTCTAATAAATAATGATTACATTAAAATAGGGTCCGGGGTGCGATTCGGTTTAAAATACCAGTTGAAAATTAATTCCGTTTATATTGTCATTTACTCGTATATTACAATCCATTTGAGATATGTACTTCTGATTACAGAGATAAATTATGTCGACAATGTGTTCACAGTGTAAGAAAATTTACAGGATTTACTGTACGAAAGAGAACTTCTTTTTCTTTACATGCGATTGCAAAAACACATACGATCCGAATTTCAAGTCCGGTTGTGAATAGATGATGTCAAACGGGAGATAAGCAATTTCTTTTTCTAGCGCGTCAGGTCAACGCGCGTAACGTGACTTATTGTTTAACGGAGTAATTAAGAAAGCGACTTAAGAAAGAACCGTCTTGGAGAGTACATAATTAAGGGCTTGCGAGTTGGTGTTGAGTAGTGATTGCCATCTCTGACGATTGGACAGAGGTGTCGTCGACACTTCTCAATTAACTTGCGAACGTCACGAAGACGCTTAGAAAATTTCTTATATTTTTTGAAACGTCGAGCGTTTCGAACGAAGGATATCTTTCTTATTAAATTGTTTTAAGTGACGTAAAGACGTCTAATAAAATTTCCAAAATTTTCCAGGCCGTCTTTGTATGTCTCATGGACGTTCTCCTAATTTATTGAGAATCCTCTTTAGGCATTTCTCGGATTTCTTGGATTTTTGTGTTACTTGAGTCACTGCGTTATTATTGATAATAAACAAAAGAGAACTGATAACAAACTGCGTGTATTACTTTCGCCTCGTCATCAGTGATGCCTCATAAACGGCTCCACCCACAAATCAGCACCAGCTTCCAAGTCCTGTACATAACTTATTATTATGTAATCCATTAACATGTACAAATTACAATCTATATAATATAGACGATGAGATTGTTTATGTGAGATATTGGTGTTAAACGCAGTACACGTGCCATAATCATTTCGGACATCGGCCGTCTCCCTTTCGCTCGTATCAGAAGAAAGTAGCCACTTCCGACTTTGTCGCCGTAAATTAGGGACCTGAAGACCCTTCATCAATTTTGGTATCCCTCCGTCATAAGTCATCTTTCACAATACGTTCATCTTGTTAACGATCTTCTCATCTCTATAATTTCTTGTAACTATATATTCTTTCGGTGCTTTCCTTTACATCCGTGCATGACACTGATCATTCCTAGATATCGATTTTACAATTTGCTCAAGACGAACCTTAAAATTGCATTGGCGATATCGCGAGGCGCGGTGGTTATCACAGTAAAAAAGAAGACGGTATTGAATATCTTTTGTAAGCGTACGTTTAATACATTAAAGTTTGATGGTAAACACTCGCTGTGTGCGCAGTTACTTTCAACCCCTTCGCATGTAGAGAAAACTTCTGTAACCCGGCAGGAATTATACATCACATATACAGTGTGCCAATAAAAAAAAGAAGACGGACTCGCGTGCTGCGAGAAACCGCTGCGACGTTTTCCATCGTCACGAGTCGCGATTCCCCCATAAATCGATTTGGTGGCGGCACGTGCCGAAACGAGGAAGGAGGATGAACCCGGTAGTGAGTCAGCCTTCATTTCCATTATCAGCGTGGCGTTCACCATCAGCAAGCGGTCGGTCGTCAACGAATAGTCCGCTACCCTCATGTCGGAAAAGAGGCTTTCGTTCTCTCTTCCCTCTTCTCTTCATCGCATCGCTACCTAATACGAACGTCTGAAATGATTCGAAGTCGTGGCCAAGAGAGAACCTATCTTGTTAGGTACCTCTTGATTGAAATGGTACGCTTACTTATCTCAAGATTAAGTTTGAACGCAAAGTCACGTTTTGATCCCCGGGTGCGGCGTTGTGATCTCTGGATCACGAAGTATACGACTGAATCTTACTGCGAAGCTTCGGCGATTGTGTATACGCGGAACTGGATAGGTTCATATTAGTTCGAATATTTACGTCAGCTTCATATCAGATACGAGAACTTCCGCTTCGTCTCGCTTCTTGAAACTTCAACCGATAGTAAGAACTACCGGCACGATAATTTCGATAGGAATTGTCAGTGCAAGGTACTATGATCATTACTATTTTTGCCTCATAGCACCGGTAGATTGCTTTCTTTTAAACTGCCGATATCGCACGGTATTATTAGGTATTATTACCTGGAGATACCGTTATGTACCGCGTTCGTTCTATTTATAGCTCAGTTTTCCACCGTCGTTCGCTTTTCTTCTCTCCTTCCCACAATACACGGGTATGCAGCATCTGTTTCGTCTCTAACACGGTGAAAAGATCTGAGAGACACTTTTGATTTTTCTCATGCGAAATGCCTCCAGTTGGAATACAATGCAATAAAGCGGAAAAGGACTAGGCATTCGAGATTTTACAGCGAACGCCGGCGAACATTTCCGGATAAAGGGGTTTATACGCGCTAATGTTATTGATGGATGCTCTTAGAGGATTGTTCGAATCCTCCAAGGTAATAAATGCATCCCACTCACTCACTCACTCAGCCGACCATATCGAGGGGAGTGAAAAGCGAATACGAGCTACCCAAGGAGGAGAATGAGGGGATCGAGGAGAGAGAAAGAGGGGGGTGAGGGGAGCGGAAGAAGAGAGAGAGAGAGCCAAGGGACACGGTTCCCGTGGGTATATCCCGGACCGAGCGTTCCCAGGAACGCGCACGTGACCCGCGCCAGAGAAGACGATCAATACGGACTTTGCGAACTCCTACACCCCGCCGGAACGACGTGTCGCCCTTGTACAGTTCGCACACATCCTTCGCCGACGAGACTGATGGCGATGGCGAACGGCCACCCCTCTTCGCACGTGTGCGTAGATTGTTGCGCGCACGTGCGCCTATTTAGTCTCCCTCGCCCGCCACCCTCGTCCTTCCGTTCACGATATCGCCGAATCCTCGCGGATTTATGGCCCTCGGCAACGGTGCAGCCGGGAGGCACTGCGGCCGGGCTGTATCGTTCGCTTTTTGTGCTGTATTTTTTTTTGCTTCACGGACGATGATGGCTGAATTCGATTCTTGTTGAATGTTGCCCTTAGAATTTTTGGCAGCTGCGACGGTTCTATGCCTAATAACGTAGGTTTCTTATTCAACTCTTCGATTATCGTTTAAAATAAAATGACGATGACGAATATTTGTACCTTGAAAATAATCACATATCGAGAGCGCTCGTCGTATTGGTTCGATTTTCAGCGACGATTCTCTCATAGTTCAACTTGATTGAGAAGAAATACAAGTCGGTGACTGAGAGTGATCGTGAATGTGTTTCAGAATCACATATATATGATAGATGGTGGATGGGATATGCTGTGCTTCATCAGAAAGAAACAAATTCATGGTCATGTAACTTATAGACACAGTTTGCGTTTATTTCGTGTACGTACGTGTTGTGTGTGTGTACCGTGTGCGAGTGTCGTATCACGCCCGCGCAATGATGTACTTACAGCCTTTCAGTCTTTGCAAATATACAATAGTTACGCGGGCTGGGGAATCGGGGAAGAGAGTTAGCCTTTCCTAAATTATAACATAAGGGGCTATGGGATAACGATACAATAATCATACAATAATGAAAGATACCAGCGATACGGTAAATAAACGGGGCGTCGAAAGACCAGCCGGGTGTGATCTCGGTGAGTCTGATTCGCCGAGAAAGATCGGAAATCTCGCACCGTGTCAACGTATTTTCCGGGTAAACGCGAACCCGGAGCACGCGTTCTCTTCGGCATCGGGATCCTCGGCTCACCGCTGTTACACGCACCTGCTTTCGATTCCTCGAAATAAATTTCTCTCTGCGCTATCTACAAATTGCTCCAACTGCCACCGACTGTCGACGACGGAGCGTTTTCCAAGAGAGACCGTGCAAGAAAAGGCGATCGATCGGCGACCAGTTGGGCGGGGCGCCGTAATGATTCGAGTGTAACAAACGTTTCAGAGAGAGAAGAAGAGAGAGAGAAAGAGAGTACTTTTTCTCTCTCTCTCTCTTTCTCTCTTTCCACTTCTCGACACGACGCATCCTCGTAAAACCGCGAGAGCAGTTCGCGTGGATGATCGATGAGGTCCTAAAGTGCACGCCGGCGGTCGCGACGATGAAAATTCGAGCCGAATCGCCGCTGCGAGAGATGTCTCGTCGGAAAACTTATACCGATCGCAACTTCCCCGTCGTGTTTTTCTTTTTTTTTTTTTTACAGACTACCTTTCGCAAAGAACGAAACCCTCACGAAACAGGCACGAGTGTCCCGATCTCTCGAGACGAGACATCGCGGCCACGTCGGAACGATAAAGGTTTTACGAGGAGGAGGAGGGAGAAAAGGGAATGGAGACAGGAAGGAAGGGAGGTCGTGCCGGATCCGTATAACCGGTGAAAGAGATCTCACGAGGAATGCGATGAGCCTATGTACAAGTGTATTTACAAATTCTCCTCGCGCGCAGGAAGAGAGGGACGTCGGGGTCTCGCGCTTCCTTCTTCATCACCGTCATCTTCTCCCCGGGTGCGAACACCATCGTCAGCGGACTCCCGTTTATCCCTCCCCCTCTCCTCCCTTCGAACGTTCAATCCCCTGTCGCTGGAAAATAATGACGTCGTGGTTCTCAAGTCCGCGCGACCGGGAGGGGCAGTTCTTCGAAGACGAGCGGGACGATCGTCGCGAAAGCTGCCGGGGTCAGCCCACGAGAAGGATGGTGACCTCTTGCACGCGACCTCAGTGCTCGCTCCTGCCGACAGGTCACCGCTCGGCGATGGTCGCTGCGGCGGCGATGGACGTCGTCGTCGTGGCGGTCGAGGCAGCGGTGGTGATGACCGCGGCGTTCAGCAGCGGCTGCAGCGGCTGCCTCGACGACTGCGTTGTCTTCGTGTCCTGGTGCGCGGCGTTCGTCTCTTCCAGGGCGGTCTGCAAGTCGCAGATGTACTCGATCACCCTCTGGATCACCTCGAGCTTCGACAGCTTCCGCTTGCGCGGCATGTCCGGCACCAGCGAGCGCAGCTTGGTCAAGTACGCGGCCACCTCCTCGGCCTCCAGGTCGCGCCGTGTGCCGCCGATCCCCAGGCCGTTGTGCAGGACGCCGCGATTGGGCGGCACTCGGCCACCCACCGGACTCACCACCATCGCCTTCATCGCTGCTACCTCACCGAATCCCCGGAGTCAGTCAGCGGCCGAGTCGATCAATTCGGGTGGCTCGTTCTCCCTCTCTCTTTCTCCTCTCGCGACACCCTCTCGACGAGTCTCGCGCGAGAGCACACGCTGCGTGATCGCTCGACGGACGACAAGTCCGTGCGCGCACACACAACACACACGCACACACACACGCACGTATCCGGTGTGTGTCCTATCGATCGTAGGAGCTGTCGATGTCAGCGTTTATCGGACTGAAGGGTTGAAGAAGGAGCGGGAGTAGCGGTAGGTAAGAGAGGATGCTCTCCTTTCTTTCTTTGCTGATTGAGCGTGGGTGTGTTTCTCTCCCGTCTTGATTCGATGATACGGAATCACGTGCGTCACACACAGTACTCGACGAGCGTGTATCACGTCGCACTAACTAGTCGCATCCTCGGGCTGAAAGTACGTCCGTGTGCGGCGACACTGCTCGAACGTAGTGCGGACTGACTACAGGACTGGCCTACGCACCGATCACGATCGCTTGACGGATCGAAGCAGACTGGCCTCCGCCCCTCACCTGCGACCTTTTATAGCCTTCCCCGGTCCCTCTCCGCGCGTACCCCCCGAGACGCTCCCACCAGTCGTACGGCGCAATCGCTGCCTGAGTGGAGTAGCGACGGCTGCGAGCGACGCGCGAACTCCTCCACCGCGCGACCCATTTTCGCTTTCTTCGCGCGTTAATGCGCGATCGTCCGGAGCTTGTTATTTCGCCGCTTCCCTAACGCGGAGAGTTTTTTCTTCTCGTTAATGTCCCTTGAAAAGTTCACTCTCCCAGACAGCACGCAATATTTATAAGATATTTGGAAAATGTAGATATTCAATATTTAGCAAGTATCCAAGTGTTCGGGAAAGTCAGATGTAAAAAAGATTATGATAAATATTCAAAAATATTTGTGATTATGTATTACATATTTTTCGATATTTTAAAAATCTTTTATAAACAGTATGTGCTGTAACCGAAGGAATTGTTTACCGTCCTTTAACGTTCATTTCAGATGGAAAGAAATTCGAATACCAACTCGAATTCCAACAATCGTGTATACCATATATACCACAGAAAAAAGTATTAAATTCAAGTAACTAATTACTTCGATGCTCCTTAGAAAATTTTGGCTTAAATAAATTTTACTCGGATCAGGCAAATATTACTTGACCCAAGTAAACATCTGCTAAGATGTATTGGAGTAATTATTTATTCGAATTCAACACATTTTTTTTCTACGTATCGGCCGAGAAAACAAACGCGATTAAGATAAAATCGCCATCCTATAGGAATCGTGAGCAAGAAACTATTGATAACTAAAGCAGAAATAAAATTGTTCCAATCAAGATCGACACAGAAGAGAGCGTCGAAGCGGCGTGTGAACAAATTGCAGCGTCGAATCCCGTTCGAAGCTATCAGTAGTCGGGGGTGTTTGACGACTATGCGACTGGCGGCGTCGGTGGAACACGAAGGGAGTGTAAAGGTAGGAGAGCGAGGGGAAAGCAACCATTGTTGAACGTCCGGCGGCGCCAGCCACTAGCCATCACGGCTACCACCACGTAGACCGTCACTAACACCGTAACACGCGGGCCGACCACCACCGTCCGAGGCTCGCGCTCGATGTACGGCGATCGTTCGCTAACCTGTGCACCATGATTCCGGCTGCAATTTTCTGCAGCGGCCGAATAAATCCGCGTGCGCGTACCCGCGCTTGTTTACGAATGGCTCGCGGAGACCGCAATTACATTACGGGACACGATTGTAAGTTTGTAAATGCGTCGGTTTCGGAGCATGGGACGCGCTTGATACGCAGAGAGCTCGCGGTAAATCGCGTTTTGCGATAAAACGTTGTTGCGACAACGTGTTCTCTGCGCGCCACAAAAGAGAGGACAATTGAGAGAAAGAAAAAGAGGGAGGGAGGAGAAGGGAGAGAGAGAGAGAGAGAGAAAACAGCTATGTCTCGCGGTCGTACTTTTAGTCGATAAAAAGATAAAAGATCAAATTTTCATTCGGGACGGACAGTGGAGAATCGTAGGTATCGTCGGGAATGGAAAATTGCTGTGATTTACGTGAGTTGTTTACCTCCTCCGTAGCCGATTCCGCCGAAGAGGATAATTCCTTCGCGGCGGTATAAAATAAATATGGATTTCTTACCTTTCTCCGCGAACCTCACGTGAATTTATCGTGCATATCTGAATATCGAATATGAAAGGTAATGGCATGTTTCCGCACGGTTGCATTATCATTACCGGATATCTTTGATATTTTCCGAAGAATATCGTGTTTGGGGGGAATGTATAAATTCGCGTGGCCGTGAATCACGCGAGAAACACCGCGAGCAATTGTCAAAGATGCCACGTGTTCACCTCGCTTCAACCACAATTATTATTTCATAGGCACGTTTTCTCGAACGAAGGAACGTCTGCCTGCTTTTTGCATTACCGATTCCACCGTCGCCTCCTGACAGCCTCCTTGCTAAACTATCCTGCATAATTCGTGCGTTTATATTCGAGCTACCGCGCGAAAATAATGTCACTGGAATTTAAATGAACATTTACTTCTGTGAAACAGCAACAAACCTTATATTTCATAAATAAATTTTGAACTCTTTTTTTCCGCGTGCGCGTTTTCTCAACGCGAATAATAACCCGCGTTCTCGAGGTGACGATGTCGTCGTCCTGATTGTACCATATTTCTTATAACCACCATATTTTCTGCATCTCGCGTTTGCTCGCGCACGGCAATTGCCGAGTCTCGTTACCGGTCAGGACAAGACAGCCCACCCGATGTCCTGCGCAACGAGTTGAAAAAGGAGGAACGGAAGAGGGGGAAAAAAGGAGAAGAAAAAAAGAGGTGAGTCGATAGGAGAGGAGAGAGAGAGCCGGCCGGAATAGCGGCGACACGCTTCGTAGAATTTCCAGGCGACGCTCCGGCACGCTCTCGAGGAAACGAGCAGCCTATGAAATAATTGAGGGCAGCGGGGTAGACCCGCGGAATCATTGACAACCGCTCGCGGTGCTTCTCGCGCGATCCTCGCCGCAGCTGCGCGAAAGCTACGCGAAACTACGACGAACTTGGCGAACCGCGCAAGCCTCATCGGCGATCGTGTGCGTCAACGGTGCGATAAGTCGACCCTCTCGCACAGCGGCCGCCAGAAATAAACCACTATATTTATTAAAGGAAGTTACAATTATAATTGCGCGAGATATAGTTACAATGTAGCGCTGCTAAAATTTTGCGATCGGCGAGAGCGCCGTTCTGTGAGTGTTGAATCGATTCGACGGATTGACAGCCATATGTCTAAAGAACATTTTTCAGACGTCCTTTAAACATATGCGTTGTTTGGACGCGTAAATTTTCCAAACAGAATCTGCAATTACTTCGAGAAATCCGGATCCTCCAATCAGATCCCAAGAAACGTTCTATGCGGGATCTCACGACTCCCGCATTCCCGAGTTTACACCTGTCGTCTTGCTCTTTAACGAATCCAGGCCCATGTTGGTTTCGATAGCGATTTTCGATAGCTTCCTCCACCCGCAGCCCCAATGCAAACGGATTTTACTTCAAAGGCGGCGAATGCGGGAAAATGCGGCCGAAAGAAACGAATGCGCGGACCCGGTCTTTCAACTGCGTTTGCGCAAGTCTTGTATAGACGACAGAGAGAGAGAGAGAGAGAGAGCGGGGTCAAAGTAAACGGAAAACGTGACGTTTATCGCTTCCTCAATCTACCCGATCCACTTGAAAGAAAATCCATCGGGCGAAACAAGCTATCTCGCGGGAAACCCGCCGACTTATTTGTCCAATATCGCGGTGCGAGGGACGTCATTCTACACGTGCGACACACTTCCTTGCGTTCGCGATAACACGTTCTTTCCACGCGTCGACGGTACCGATAATCGCATCCGTCGCCGCGACGCTCACCGGCTCGACGAAAAAGCCGGCGCGTCTCTCATTTATTTATTTATAAAGCGTAATTGATCGCGAACCAGATGCACGGAGCCGACGGTGGGACGAGGCGAAAGAGATAAAAGACACGCATGAGAAATTACGTTATTTACGGTATTTCCGATTACTCGAGCTTCGGTCCGCGCTTTCGAACGATCAATCGATCCGATGGAGGTCAGTCGGTGTCAACGGAGACCAGTCGACGAGTATCATCAACGTGTTTACGCGGTCGAGAAAAAAAAAACGCATTATCACGCGCGACGATCGCTACTCGGAATGGCGCGAGGCGACACGCCGGTGACACGTTTCAACGCATAATTTCGCAATGTCGACCGACGACGGAGGTGTTCCGTTTCGAGAGTGCGAGCTCGATGAGAGAGGAGAATACCGTGGAAAATTACAGGGAATATAACCGAACGGGAGAGAGAGAAAGAGACGCTCGTGAGAGACTCCGGGCACTTGCGCGGTTACATACCTGAGCAACCGGATCTTATTGACTCCTTGATCCCCGTGTTTAAGAAATGGAGTTCCCTTGACCCGGGAATAAATAAACTGAGGAAACCGACGTGGCCGCGCGCTATCGCCGTTGCGGCGATAGAGAGTTTACTGGTACTTTTCATTGAGATCCCCGCGAGCCGGCACGGTGTGAGTTACGGCTCTAGCCGTATCGTCGGTACGACCGCTCAATTAGCATCGGAAATGTTAATTATCCGCGCGAATGATCAGCTCGATTCGCAGAGATTATGCCCTGAGAATCTTTAAATCTCCGTTGTGTTTGTTCTCCAAATCTTTTTCTGATCGCGACAGTTTTCTCTCCCTCAATCCGCTTAACTTTCGTACATAGTAAAAGTTTATAACGTAATGCGAGTCGTATTGATTTTAACGAAATCTTAAAAACAAATCCACCATCTTGAATTTTTCTACCCATCACCTGAAATTTTTATCTCGATCTATCTCTTACTCACCGAGACACCGCGAACTCAAAATCGCCTGGCACATTCTCCCGCATCCAGATCTGAAACGGAAAAATATAGTTTCGCCAGTTAGTTTTAGGGATTCGATTTAACGAATACATGCAAATACACAGTAAAAAATATTCTGCACTTGTATTAAAATTGGTCTTTGTTGAAATTTTTGTATTAAATTTTTCACATACACGTGTATCAACTTAACATAATGTGTTTGTGTTATCTCAACATTTTATGCTGCGTCGATATTCAAAACACATGTGAGTGTTGAAATAACACGTCTTGAATTTCAGTGTCAATTAACGTATTAATTTTGTATCAATGTTTGACATAATATTTGCGTTACTTTTCAACATATTCATCTTGTATTGAATTAACACGAAAATTTGAGCGGAACGTATGAAATATGTTGAATTCAATAGAACATTTTTTACTTTGCGTAGACAGATTAGCTCTTTGCGGCTGAAATTTGAGTCATTCTGACGCTTATATCACAGCTTTCGACCGCAAAGAGTTAAATTGGAGGAATAACTCACCCTCGGGTCGAGCCTGTTCGGCCCGAACCGGATTCTCCGACGTCGCATTCGCATCCACCGGAACTGCATCCGCGATGAGGGCGTAAAATGTCCGTCAAATCTGAAACCAAAACACATCAATTTTCTTAATTAATTATATGGTGATAGAGAGAAATCGCTGAATCTCGACGAATCGAGAATACGGAAGTGTTCGCCACACAGGTGTACGAACTACGAGACCGTGTATTTTTCTTTTAGATCTAATCAAATTAATGTACGGTGATTACCCTGTAAATTTCACGACGCTGTCACTGCTCACGATAATCACAGTACGATAAGATCACACGCGAAGTACAGGAATTCGTCTCGCAGTGTTAACTTCCGATTAGTCGCGAACAATCGGGAATGGCGCGCGATTCGTTCACTTTCACGTCAAATATTGTTATGATCGTCGATTGCTTTGTGAACCTACGTATTATTGTGTCGAGGATCGTGAGACGCTCGCACCGAGGGCGCATGACCTTCAACGCTCTATGTCGCGCTTCAGCGAACCGTCACGTGATTATTTTTTTAATTATTTAACGCGCGTATTATATTTTAATATTATCTCGTTGTACGTTGCAATATATAATACTCAATTTATTCAAACGCATCTCGATCGGCACGGAAAAAAATTTGTCTTTTTTTGACAATTTTTTGTGCGGCTTTTCACATTCCTGTACATTGTACAACCGCTGATTGATTAAAATCTAGTTGTTACGATATAATTATATATACAAATACGCGAGTATCATAAAAAATGTCATAAATTATCAAGTTAATTGTTATTAAGTGGATCTCGACATGTTTTCGAAACTGATATCTGAAATGACCATTCGTGACCGATCGTGCTATTCCGAATCTGGCGAGACTATTCGTTATCGCGGTGTACCCAGGTGTTCCGAGCTCGATTGGTAGCGGAAGGTAACTTTGAACCGCGGGCTAAAAACCTCAAGTTACACGAGCCCATCCTCGAGTTCGTCTTGCATGAATCATCGGGGGAAGTGACTCGGCCAGATCGAGCATCCAGGTGTTCCGTTCGGTCGCACTCATCTCGCACTCGAGCCGACAAATTCTACCACACGGAAAATGAATCCTTATCGTGCGGATAAGACGTGGCCTTAATATTATCGGTACACACTACTCTCGGTTCAGACGAAACCTACCGCTCCCTGAGATAACTGCGGGATTATCGACATTTGGCATCGTTTCCTCGACTTATTTCCACGTGACTGATAAGTTTATCACCTGCACGAGTCAACTTGTGAGAAATTGCCTTGTACTTTATTTCCTCGGATATGCGATAAACAGATTCACGGATGAACGAAGAAGAAGCTTACAGTTGTGTGATTCGATGCGCGTAAATTCAATACATACATAATTTTCAATACACAAAAAGTACATTTCGTATCATTACATAAATTTTCAGTTTTTCTTTCTTACAAAAATATTGCACTTTTGCTGTGTGTAAAACGTGACACACATTTTTGAGATATGTTTAACGCCAGTAAAGCGGCGGAAAAATGTCCTCGCCGGCCGAGCACAATTGTGAAACCTCTCGATATACCTGTCAGCGTGAGATCGTATCGCTCGCAAGCTGAAATCGGTCGTTTTTCGCTCGTGTTTATCGACGTGCCGAGAACCGAGTGCGTCTCCGGTGACTCGCGGCCGAGCATTTTGTCGCGAGCGCGATTTGTCGCGGCACGCAAAGAAAGAGGAGAGACCTATAATTAGCGTTCTCGCCCCTTCCTCGAAGACCGTTCTCGAAATCGGCCCGACGACGACCACGACGAGAGATTGCGACCGGTCGGTGGAAACCGCGGCGGTGCATCTCTCCGCGCAGCTGCTGCACACGCAGCGCGCCGAGAACGGCCGAAGTGAGCCCGTAATCGTGCGCTTCCTGCTGCGTCGTATCCGTCGTGAGATAGCCTGCGTAGGTACTCACCTCTCCGTGCGCACACGCATGCCGTACACTCTCACGAAGAAATTCGCCGCGTGGAAAATCGCGAGGAAAGCCGCGCCATGAGTTAATCCCGGAATGCATCGACTTAATCCGACCGCGTTCTTACAACGCCGAGTCCGCTTCCATTCGAACGAATGCAGGCGCGCGATGAAAAATACAAGAGGATCTTGTTCCACAGGATAAGAAGAAAAACATTCGGTTGAATACGCGAAACACAATATATGTATGTACGAGACACGCTTCGTGCGTGCATGTGTGTGTGTAGGAATTCTATTTTATCATTTGTATTCTCTGCGAGTGCGTACAAGTCGTTTCGCAGCGATTTATCAATTTACGTGTACACGTATCGCCAGGGTGCAGCTGTACGCAGGCACGCACGTAAACACGCTGGCACTCCGATCACAACACGATTATCTCGATTGTAGACCGGTCGAAACGATAAATGAGATCAGATAAGTAGGAACAATTCTCCCGTTATGACGCAATCAAATTCGTCGGGATAGATGCAGCAACATAGAGAGGGGCTCGCGAGCAGCGCTTCAACAATACACGAGAAACCGAGCCGATAAACTGCCTTCAATCAAGATATCTTTTCAAGGCACGTATAGTCGCCCGTAATAAATCACTAATTCCACGCGCGGGCATGGAAGCGAATTCAAACTGACAAGATACGGATAAGGGATCAATTAAACGGCGATTTCTCTAATCTCTTTCATTTACATTTTTATATCGCCCGCCGAGATCTGGCGTTTTGAAAAAAAAAAAAGAGGGAAAGAGATAAAAAAAAAACGCATATTCGTCACGCCATTAATCCGGGATTCCGGTCGATTTTTACGGATCCAAAGAACGCGGGCTATTATTTATCGTTTCGAATCGAGTCAGCACTGGTTCTCCTTCGCCGACGAATTTTTTCCACTTCGCCTCTGCGAAGGGAGAAAGACATATAGACGGAGAAAAGGAGAGAAGGAGAAAATGAGAGAGAGAGAAGGAGGAAGACATGGGAGTGCCCCATCGAAAATTATTCCGTGGAGTGTATCTTGGCATCCGATGATTGTGCGCCAGCGGCTAGAGTGGTCTCTCGGAGTGCACGTGCGCCTTGCACGTGTTAGCTGTGGGGCGACTCTCCCGAGTCCCGACTGCCTACAAGACTGTAACATCGTAGCAGGAAAGGGGCCGGGCAGGGAGGTTGGCGAGGAGAAGAGGTGGATACGGCAGCTATAACTATACGCTCACACTTATCTCGTCGTGCGCGCTCTTTCTCCCGTTTTAACGCTTTCGTCTCGCTCCTTCTTCCTCATTATCCATCCGCCTTGCCTACGTTCGTTAAATGGAGTACCGCGACGCTAATTGCGAGTACAGCCGGGCCTCGATGCAGCGCGCCTCTCGAGAGGGAGAAGCCACCCTCATCGTGGGCGGTTTAGACATGTATGATACAAAAAGAGAGAGAGAGAGAGAGAGGACGGTAAGGATAAGAGAACAATCGAGGTGATTGCGTGGAGGCGAAGAGCGATTGTTGGGTATACGTTGAGATAGAGTTATTTTTGGTATTCTTTTCTCCGGTAGAATGATTGTAGGGTCATCATAGGTGCACGTTAGTCGCAGGTGGAAGTGATAACGCGACGGGAGGGCCTTTGTCAGATGCAGCTGGACCGCTCGAATTGCAACTAATGGAGACGTGGAAAAATCGCGGTAAAAACGCGTACGACAGCTGAGCGAGAGTTGAGAAAAATTCGCAGAACGGTTGCGAGTCGTTCTCGGCGACGACGGGCCGGACGATGAAACTGCAAATGGCAAAACGGAGACAGAAATCACGGGCCGTGGAGGCGAGCGGATCCACTATTTGCGCAGCTGTTCAAACGGCTCGCACCGCGAAAATACTACCTCGTCATCCGTTTTTAAAATACCCGGAGTCCTCGGAACGGCGGACGTGCATGCACACTGCAGCCGAGGACTCCGCGGCGAGTCATTAACGGGCCCGTCTTGACCCGTTTCCGCCGAGGTGCGCCGTCGTTTGTTCTCGTCGCCGTCGCCGTCATCGTCATCGTGGCCGCAATCTAGAGCGCACCGCCGCCAGATCGGTGTTATCCGCCTATTTCGCAACTTTCACAGGAAGCGGCCGTCTAGAATTCCACGCCGCGTACACATCGCGAAGAATGTGTTTCGCGCGAAGGTGAGAAACTTCGAGTTAACTGCGCGCGAGCGCGGTTTAATGACTCTCGAAATTACACACCGGATTGTGATAACTACAATGTTGCGAAAGAAAGAAGCCGACGTCCGTTTTGCCTCGATTTTCAGTCGCAGAAGCGTAGAGATTCGCCAACACTTCAGAATCTGAAAACTTTCTCACCTCGATCGTATCTTGACCTTCAAACTGGAAGGTTTCTATACTGCAAATCCAAGTGTATTATTTTAGATGAGGCTTTTTTTTACATATTTCTTGTCATTTTAAATCATGTCATTTAACACGATTGGACGTGTTAACTTATAACTCAACACGACTAAACGTTTTTAAATGACGTAACTTAAAACGGCAAGAAACATGTAAAAAAAACGTCAGTCAAATGTGTCATTTTTAGACGTTTATGCGTGCAAAAATAACACACTTGAATTTGCCTGGTACGACTGTACAGTGAAGAACGGACATGGGCAGGTCCTTATTATTTTAGGACGAGACAAATAATACTAGTCAACAAACTTTTTGTCTGTGTTTGGTATCTTTTAGCTTTATTTGCTTTAAAATGCATTTTAAAGCGAAAAGTTGATACGTGACATTAACAAAATATGGGTAAAAAATTTGCTGTCGAGATGTGGGGAAAAAATGTGTTACAACGTCATGAAAATCTTCAAAATTGACGTTTTTCGCCTTCTCGACGCCATTTTTCTCAAAATTGTGACCCTAAATTTGGACAATAGATTCATGTGCAGCAGGCGAAAATCATTCGGGAACACCTATTCTCATTCCGGATATGGAAATCTTGTTGACCAATATAATTGCTCGAAATTTACCGTAACGTTCCGAAAGGCTGGAAAAGGAGCGGATCAGACCGAGAGGAGGAGCGAGATATTTTCTTCAATCTCCGAGAGGGGCTGCACGCAAAGCTTCGCCGAGAGGAGATATTAATCCGCATTTCGTGGTAGCCCAGATTCGGGCGGAGTTACGAAAAATCCACCGCGGTATTTCTCAGCTACCCCGGCCGGAACGTCTCGTCTAAGCTCGGCGGTGCACAATGCGCGCGGTATTAACCCATATACACGGTTTTCGGCAAACATCGTGAAAGCGGCGAGCTGCAGGTAATAGGAGCGTGTCGCGAAATACGGCGGCCTCGGAACATGTAAATACGGAGAGCCCGGCTCGAATATGACCCAGGCAAATATCTCCGAGCTTTGGGAAGTTTTTCACTCCCTTACGGGATAGAGATATCGAGAAAAGATTCGATACGTTGGGACACTCTAAGGAGAAATATTGCCACGTCGAGAGCGATCGTGTGTGGAGCTGTTGGAGAAAAACGTTGAACTTTAAAGTGGCGAACATTGTTTCATCCTGATAGCCGTCCCGACGAATAACCGATCCCTTATCGATTACGGCAGTCACCCCTGTAACCCTTGTCACCATAATTCTCCGCAACGAGCTTGCGGCTCGTGTTCCAAAACTCGTCGAGTCGTGAAAAAGTCCAGAAATGCGCCAGCCACCCAAGAGAGAGAGAGTTATTCGAAACCGCTTTTCGTCCGACTCGTAAGACAGCGTCAAGTACAAAGGTTTCTCTGTTCCTTCAAGATCGTTTCTCTTTCACTTTTCCCTCCGTAAGGTTCTGGGGGATTCATTTATCAATTACGATATTCAGTTTCTCTAGCTTCCCCGGCCTCCTTCATTTTTACGAGTTACGATATCTGTACCTCGGAGGAAAAAGGCAGCGATGTCTGGTTACGAAAATCGTGTGGAATTTATAAACTGTGGAATTCCGGAATTCTAGAAATGTTTCCCACCGCTAATTTCGTCCCTCGATTTTGGAGATATTAGTTTTTTATATCTAAAAATCAAGGTTGGGTAAAGTAACTTAAGTTAGAAGTTAGTTATGTGAAACTATATATGCGTATAAGCCAAATCTATCCTTCTTCTAAATTATATATATATAGTTTTGCATAATTAAATATTAACTTTAATAGTCTTTAATTTAACTTTAACTTAACTTTTAATTAGTTAGTTTTCTTAGGTTGTTTTTAACTTAACTAAATAAATTGTACAGGCCATTAACTTCTAACTCAACTTCAAAAAAGAAGTTGACCAAACTCTGCTAAAAACTGAAGATACAGTCCGCTTTTCGTTTTACCGCGAGAGATACGGATACAATATTTTAACAAGCTCGCATCGATAAACTTCTCGCGCTCAGGCGCTGTTTCAAGGTACTGATTCCCGAAGGTATTGAAATCTCGCCCGCGGGCACAAGGTAATCTTCACGAAGTAACGCGGGAAGATATATAAAGGAGCGGACAAGAAGAAAGGACGGGTAAAAAAAGAAGGAGGAAACGGCTCGCGCACTCACGGCAGCGGCGGCGACGGCCGCGGTGAGGAGGAAGAGAAGCGGGAGAAAGATCAAGAAAAAGAGAAAGAGTGAGAGACAGGTAAGAGGCGCGCTCGCAAAGGTGACCGAAGCTAGCTGGCCTGGTCGGTTTGGCCCCGTGGGAACGCGTTGGTGGCCAGCTGCACTGATTGCCGTGAGAGGACGTGACGTAGCGTCGTCGAGGAGCGTATACACATACACCACGAAAGTGTTTACATATTATATATATGTACATATACTCACGTTCCATGCGCACAAACGCACGCACGCATACATACGCAAACGTCAAACGTGCGCCCGCACTTGCGCTTGCGTGCCGTAATTGGCGATGGTAGTGGTAGACGACGAAGTCGCAACGGTGGGACCCGTAGGGGGTTGGGTACC